CGAAAAACCCTGCAGTCAACAACGGTGTCCTGCAAGTTGCCCATTCTATCTTCAAGCGATGGAGGCCCCTGTTCCGATCCGATGATCTTTATAGAGAGATTAATCATGTTCTAGATAAATTCGGAAACCCTTTCTTGGCTCTCTTTGAGGTATGACTATTAAAATCGCGCCTCGGTTCGATTGAGCAGGGCTATGAGAAATATCAACGGTGGTTACTAATACGTATCCTCCTATACAGGGCCTCGACTCATATCTCGAAGAAAACAAGACCAATAAGGACAACCTTGTCCAGGGATTCACACAATTCAACTTGATGATCAAACTTCTGTATGATCTTTCTTGCCACGACCTTCCTCCGATGTTCGAAGAGCAAATTTCAGGGATAGCTACTCTTCTGCTCAAGTACCTCACGTACGACAACCAGCTGCTTCATACCGATGATGACACCGAGGCTGGCCAATTAGAATTTGTGCGGGCTGGAATCTTTGAAGTCCTGACACTCTGGGTACAAAAGTATATGGATGAGTTCAAGCCTCATGTCGAACAGTTTGTGGGTAGTTCTTGGAGCTTCTTGGCTACAATCGGCCAAGAAACAAAGTACGACATTTTGGTTAGCAGGGCACTCCAGTTCCTGACTTCAATTGCGGGTATGCCTGAACAGGCCGCCTTTTTCCAAGATGAGAACACTTTGAGCCAAGTTATTGAAAAGGTCATTCTGCCCAACGTGAGTCTGCGTGAGTCAGATGAGGAGCTATTTGAGGATGAACCTATTGAGTTTATCAGACGAGACCTTGAAGGATCAGATAGCGAGACAAGACGACGTGCTGCCACCGATTTCCTGAGGAAGTTGGCCGAGAAATTCGAAAGCTCCGTAACAAAGGTTGTTCTGCATTACACCGAAGGCCACCTTGCTCAATACACCAGCGATCCGGCTTCCAACTGGAAGGCTAAGGATACCGCAACCTACCTCTTCTCTGCCATTGCAGCAAAGGGTGTTGCTACCGCTAGCCACGGAGTGACTGCAACTAATTCGTTGGTCAGCATCACTGATTACCTCCAGAAACATCTTGCTGCAGATCTAGTGGCTGGAGATGATGTGAATCCCATTCTCAAAGTCGATGCAATCAAATACTTGTATACTTTCAGGAGCATCATCACTAAAGAGCAATGGCAAGAAGTGCTTCCTCTAGTGGTCAATCATCTGGGCTCTTCGAACTACGTGGTCTACAGTTATGCAGCAATTGCTGTTGAAAGAGCACTCTACCTTACAGATAACCAGGGTCAGCCAATCATTGCGCCCAACACAATTACGCCTCTGGCCAAGGATTTGTTAGAGCACATCTTTGCGTTGATCCAGAAGGATCCGGCCCCCGAAAAAGTGCAGGAGAACGAGTTCCTGATGAAATGTGCTATGCGGGTACTCATTGTTATCAAGGAGGACGTCGTACCCCATACAGACTCTGTTCTGCAAAATTTGATCAACATCACCGAGGTCATCAGCAGGAACCCGAGCAACCCAAGATTCTACTACTTCCACTTTGAAGCTCTGGGTGCCTTTATCAGGTACTTCGGCCCCGAAAACCCCTCTAGTACTATGCATTTGCTGACAGTCATAGATTTGCTGCCCCGGCGAATCCTGATAAGCTTGAGCAAGCTTTATATCCTCCCTTCGCCGGAGTACTCCAAGGCGATGTGCAAGGTAAGGATGACTATAACTCGGCCATCACTTGGTTCTTAAATACTGAGATATGTTTAGAATTCATGCCCTACATCTTCCAGCTCTTTGCGGCACTTCTCGAAGCCAACCCTTCGGGATCGCTGCCAAATTACTACCAGAATCTGGTTGCCCCTATCCTGATGCCTGTCATGTGGGAGTCGAAAGGCAACATCCCTGCGCTCGTGCGACTCCTCTCGTCTATCATTGCCCGCGGTTCTCAATTTATCCTAGAGAACCAACAGCTTTCGAATGTCTTGGGTATCTTCCAGAAACTGCTTTCCACTAAGGCGAATGAAAGTTATGGTTTTGACTTATTAGAGTCCGTTGTTGCCAATTTCCCTCCGTAAGTTAACTGCCATAAGGGTTCGACTTCTTTCAGGCCCATTAACATTACCACAGAAACGCGCTGGAGCAGTACTTTATCTCGATCATGCAAGTCATTCTTACTCGCCTCCAGAATTCGAAGACAGAAAATCTCACTGGCAGATTTGTCCGATTCTACCATTTCATTTCTGCCCATGATGAGAAGGGCTACAGCGCCGATTTCTTCATTCAGGTCACAGATAAAGTGCAATCTGAGTACGTGGGCCCCGAGAAAGTTGTTTTTTGATACCTTCACCATACTGACTTTTATCAAGCCTGTTCACTCCGATCTATTTGAACATAATTCTCCCTGACACGCAGAAGCTTGCTCGTCCGCTGGATCGCAAAACTGCAGTGCTGTCATTCACCAAGACGCTTGCTAATTCCGATGCCTTTGCGACCCGGTACAAGAAGGGGTGGGGCTTTACATGTGAAGCCTTGCTTAAACTTCTTGAACTCCCTCCCCTCCCAGCGAGCAAGGACGACATTATCGCTGAACATGATGTTGAAGATATGGCATTCGGTGTAGGGTTCACGGCTCTGAACACCGTACGCCCACAGACCAAGGACCCGTGGCCGGAGACCGGAGCCGACCTTAAGGCTTGGGTTGGCCAATATCTGAAGGAAGCCGACAAGAAGTCTAATGGACGGATCTCTGGGTTTGCACAGGAGCGTCTAAGCGACGAAGCCAAGACAGTCCTCAGCAGCTACATTGGCTGAAGTGGAGCAAGTCTTAGGTAGTCTCTGAGGAATTATTGTTACCCTGCCCTAAGGTAGTCAGTCGGTACCGGCCGTATAACAGCCCGGGAAAACTAGCCTTGATACCTCAAAGCAAAAAAGAGAAAGTTAAAAAAAAAAGAAGGAAAAGACCGAATATGCCTTTACGAAATGTTATTAGATGAAACAATGCTCTCCCTCGCCCTCCTATATGCGAGATTATTCTTTACAATACCGTCCTGTTGACTGTGAACATCGATTTTTTACCTCGTAGACTAACGATGAGTAGAAAGGCCTGACATAGGGAGGATATCTATAAGTCTGTAGGCCGTGCCGTCATAATATTGATAAATCATTTGACCTGCGCCTAGTTTGGCGGGGCGTGCTTTGACGAGACAACGCCGACCAGCTCCTGATGGCCTTCTTCACCATCACGATCCTCCTGCTCTTGCACTTCTTCCTGACCCTTCCCCAGCTCGCGATACTTTCTCCGGCTCTTCTTCACCTTACTAGCCTTTTTCTTCCGAGCACGATCAGCTTTGATCGCCGCGCGGCTCTGGTCTCCTTTCTCTGCCTGCTCCACTTTATCGGCGAGAATTTGTCGCGCGATCTTCTCATTCTGGGAACGGGAGCGAGTGGCTTGTGATTTCACCACGAGACCGGTAGGTTTGTGGATGAGTTGAACGGCAGAGTTGGTTTTATTCTACCGATTGCGATTAGCCAATACCGATTTAGATGAGAGATTGAGTCAATGGCGTACAATCTTTTGACCTCCAGGGCCAGTGCCCTTGAGATATGAAATGGTCAGATCGGCATCGTCAATTTTTAACCGGGGCGGTAATGGCTTATCGGTAAGATGAAAGGTGGTTGTGAAGGATCTAAGAGGGGCGATGGGTTTGGTATATGGGACGAGATTACGCGGGATGAGGGTTCGTAGTAGTAGCATGGTTCATGATGGCTACTGTTTTGGCATCCTGCGAGAGGTTCCAGTATTACCATATTACAATACATACACTTCGAGATTTCGGCCAGAACTGCCGCGAATGCGCAGCCGAACTAGTCCCATTACGATTTAGTGTGATACCAGCACGCAGGATACGAGTACGAGAGGACATTGATGCCTCAGGCAGCAGAGGACAATCCACAGCGAAAGATTGATCAGGATACTATGGGGACTTTTCTCATAACATTGCCGGCTGTAATACTACCATACATGGCTGGTCCCTCCTTCTCCTACAATCGTCATAGCTGATGAACCTGCTGATGAATTATCCCGTATGATGTGCAGGATCATCAAGAACCCTTTATCACTAGTTCTTTGAAAATGCGCCAAGCGTAGGGTGACGTACGCATCGGGTGGGTTTCAAAAGGACATCGAGAAAGTCTCTTTTGTATTTCTTTATTTTATTTTATTTTTTTTTTCTTTACAGAATGGTCTCTGTGATAACGAAACAAGGTTCGCATAGTTCAGAGACAAAAGAAAGAGCAATTCAGTTCGTGACTAATTAGAGGAAACACTCAGTATCCTTTCGTTTAATACTAGCTGGCAAATTTTTTTTTTTTTTTTTTTTCTTTGTTTGCCTTCATTCTCTGTGGTGGAGGAGGGTCTAGACAGTTAAGTCGATTCAGACTTTCAGTGGGTGCTCTGGACCCTGAAGTGGAGCCCAATTCCAGATGCCACCAATGCATGGATTGTGGCTCAGTCGGTGGATTTCCCCCCAACATGAAACACTGTTCGGAGCCGGAAGTGAGAAGTTTGTTGGTCTTGCACTGAAGCTATTCTTAGTCAAAATGAACCTTCATAAATTCATAGTGAACAAAAATTTAAATGCATCTTGACATGCAACTAAACATCCTTTTTGTTATCTCCCCCGCATTGACAACCTTTTTATTTGCTATTCAATCATTTTAGCTTCTGTAGACCGACAGGGTACTTTTTGTCGATCAAACCTGCATCGGTTCTTTTTCTTTTTCTTCCCCCCCCTTCCCTTCTTTTCAATCTTACCTTTTTCAATTTTGCTGCGCCTTCCCGGAAAGTTCATAAGGATAATTATAGTTATGCATACCTGGTAACCATTATCTTTCCAAACAATTGTTTCTCACCGGCAACACCAAAATACCACGTGGTTACTTCCTCAATTCAGTCTGACCCTCACTTCCCGTTCCCCTGGCATTTTTCATTTTTGGTTGAAAAAGGTCCGTACTTTCAGGGGCAAATTCGACCAAAAAGCGCCCTCTGCTACTCGGCCTGTAAACTCCAACTTTCCTGAAGTGGCATCTTTTTTCCCCGCTCAATCCCTCTATCGCAAACAACGAACATTGCATTACGATCATGGCCCTCCTCTGGATCCCAGCCTCTTTCGCCCGTTGGATTCGGCTGAAAATATATCAGTATGAGGTGACTTTTGCTGTATACATGCTCACACCAACCGAAAAGTTCATTTTTAGTATGCTCACTCAAAAGAAAAGGGCCATTGGAGAACGAAGGAATCTCGTTAACAGACTAAAACAGACTCCCTCCTCCTTACGCTGATCTCAATGATCATCACCGCTATTTACGTCTACCTCCCCGATCACATCAGGTCCATCTACGGCCACCTCTACTATTATTGGGCTGGCGAACGTCCCTTCATATCCTCCGCCTTGCCATCAATCAGCTCGGTATTCCGCGAGACCGGCACCCAGGCGCTAGAGGTCATGTACGAGACAGCAAAAAATAATGCTGCTGCTGCCACCGATACGATCCGCGAATTATAAGTTTCTTGACTGTTGGCAATGGCGAGCGATCCTATTCTTTTTCCTTTCTCCTGTCTGGGCCGTGGCGGATTGTGGCTATCCGGTTTCTGTGCAACTCAAGCGTGATCCTATCGGCGCCATCTCTTGTGTGATGCCCTTATCAACATACCTTGGAATAATCTCTACCTTTCCACCTCTTACGCATTTCTGGTCCTTGAGCATGGGTTGAGGTCTCAGCTTAGCAGCACTGCCTGCAATGTCTGGACGCATCTTTTCCATGCTGGCGTTGTAACGTTGTTCATACGGAGTTTGAGCGAGTTGTTCCTGAGCAGGCCGGCGCATCTTAGGAGTTCTTGTGTGTATTCTTCGCTCTTTCTGCAATTTGGCCTTCAGGGCCCCGAACATTCATAGCAGCGAAGCCTTGATTATTACTGTTCCGATGAAATACCCTTAACAGCGAAGTCAGCTTAATTATTTCCCCCAAGATACCATCGCTGTGGAAATAATAACTCTATGCCCCAAGTCGACCATATTACCATACCTTTATAAGCGCCTGTTTACTTGGTATTATGTGATACCAGGACTGTATTCATTATTTTTAACCAACAAACGATACTAGGACATAGTCCTGCAGAACCGTGGACTAAAACGATACCGTAGCGAAAGAATGTACAGGCGAAATAAAACTCGTAACCAAAACTAGATGCCCATTTTAGAACCGAATTCAACTCCCGACATGCCCAGAGAAGAGTGTTAAACAAGAACAACATAAACAGTAGTACACGTGCAACTGCCACATGATAACTCCACCAACCTTTTGTCGGGCTCCCATGCCACTCTAGCCCCCGCGGAAAGGCAGCGCGCTTCCTTTCGTATAGAACCGGCCCCCCGCCATTATCTTCGACCAACGTAGTCCCAGGACTTTACTGTAAACCCGTGTCCATAATCTTCAACAATTTCACTCCGCGTTCTGTGCTTGACTCTCAGCCTGCATGTGGGCTTCAGCCTGGGCCTGGGCCTCCCGTTGCCGTTTCTCTCGCCGAACAGCATCCACCATGCGCATTCGCGCAAGTTCCTTGTCAATCTCTTCCTTCTCGAGAGGAATCTTATGCGACTGCTCGGTAGTAGGCCAGAAGCCGGGGACACTGAAGCGGTCGTCGAGGTTTGTTCCGAAATAATACATCCATCCAATCGGGAAAAGAACGTACATGCCAAACTAAAACGGTCAGAGCCAAGCTCCAGAGATAGCGGGCAACCGAATTGATCAAGAAAATACCTTGAAAACCTCGAGGTTTCCACCTCGTAATCTTTGGAGAATGTTGGACATAGTGAGGTGTGGTGTTCAAACGCAGTGGAGGGGTGAGAGGCGAAGAAGTGCTGAGCAAACCCGTGGTTTTACCCTCGGATTTTGGTTGCTTGCGTTTTCCCCTTCTTCTAGCAGGGGTTCGAGCTTAATGGCGCTATCAAGAAAACTGCGCAATTGTTTTGTTTAAAGATCAGCCATGGACCAGCGAATGACCGAACATACGATATGCATTACAGAGCCTCCGGCTTGCCGATGATCAACCATGCAAACGAGACAAACTTAACACGTGCCGTTCACCTGACCTGAGTCACCTGACCAGTTTATAAGCCTCGGCTGCTGCATGGCTCCGGCTCCTCGGCCTCCCCGCAATTATGAGCCGCCGGTAATAGTTGGCAGGCGTATCGACTGCCGGGGCATTGCTCATGGATTACTACTTCCGTGCCGAGTGGAATGCCCCCTCACATTCATTGTTTATCTAACATATATTAGACATACAATTAGAAGCTAATGAAGAAGCCACCTTCACTTGATCGTCAACTTAGCTATCGAATATTCTCTCTTGACCCAAACTACTAAATCTAGTTCTAATCCACTTTCTACTATTGACTCCCCATATAATCTTTCAGCCAGCTATAGACGCAATGTCAAACGAAGACCTCGTCACAGTCACTTACCAAGATCGGATTGCGATCATCACATTCAACAGGCCGGAGAAGCTCAATGCTCTCAACCAAGACCTGTATTACCTTCTCGGGGAACGTCTCCGGGAAATCGACAAGCGCGAGGATATCTTCATCACCATTCTAACCGGCAAAGGACGATTTTTCTCCGCGTAAGCACCCATGTCCTACATAGCGCAAGCCAGGACCCAATTGATCTAACACAATCTAGCGGCGCAGATGTTACCTCGACCCGGCCATCCGGCGACCTGAGCAGCAGTGTCCGTCGCGAGCTCACGCGATCCTTCGTCGTCAACAACCTCGACATCACGAACACCGTGGCCCACCACTCCAAGATCCTGGTCGCTGCTCTCAACGGCCCTGCAGTCGGTCTTTCCGCGGCCCTGGTCGCCATGGCCGACTTCATCTACGCCGCGCCGCACACCTTCCTGCTCACCCCGTTCTCGTCCCTTGGTCTTGTCGCTGAGGGTGGCTCTTCGCGCGCTCTGGTCGAGCGTCTTGGCATCTCCAAGGCGAACGAGGCGCTCATCATGAGCAAGAAGATCACCTGTGAGGAGCTTGTGGCGACTGGGTTCGTGAACAAGGTTATCGAGGCGCCGTCGGGCAGGAAGGACGACTCGGATGGTTTCCTGCAGAAGGTCCTCGAGGAGGTTGAGGATCGTCTTGGTACTCACCTGAGCCAATCTAGTCTCCTGGGGATTAAGGAGTTGATCCGCAGGCCGGAGCGGGAGATTCTGGACCGCCAGAACTACCTTGAGGTATTTGCTGGGTTGCAGAGGTTCCTGAAAGGTATCCCACAGGAGGAGTTTAGGCGGTTGGCTTCGGGGGAGAAGAAACATAAGCTGTAGTGGACTTGATGTTTGTGGCTGAATTGAGACGTTTGTCGGGTTCTGTAAATACGGGTCAGGGATACGTAGATATGCTTTTCTAGATCAAGAACATGTCATGCGTTATTGAATGGTATGTTTGACTACAGTGGAAGTAGGTTTCCTTGGTTACCAGTAGGCAAAACCCTTTTTTTATTCTGTTGAATAGTTGTTTGTGTGTTAGAAAAACACAATCCCCATTGCTTTTCCTTATCCGTTAGTTCATAAACGCCGTCTAATCCCCGATTACTCCGTTGCAATAAAGCTGAGAAGCCTGTCATTGTCCACGATCACTATCTGTATCCGACTCCTGTGCCTGCTTGGCTAGAATATCCTGCCATTTGCCCAAGAACTCACTCATACCACCTGGTCCGGAAATCGAGGCATCGACCACCTCCTTGGGCAGTTTGTGTGCCGAGTACTGTGGTGTGGTAAACGCATAGGCTTCCGGATCATCATGCTTCACGAGACGGAACTCGGGGAAGAAGGGGGAGTCCTCGTCCACCTCATCGGCGGCCTCATCTTCCGTATCGGACGATTCAGATCCTTCAGCAGCTCCGATTACATCAGTGACAGTGTTCCCATTAAGCGATAGTCGGACGAACTGCTCTTCGGCGCCGTCCTCTTCCTGGATTCCGATTGGGTCTTTCATGTTCAAGATCTCAAGCCAGCTGAACAACAACGGATCGGTCCTCACAGCCCAAGGATTGATGTCGATGAGCCAAACACGCTGGTGTGGAGGAGGAATGTACACATCGAAGACAAAGCTAGGATCAGGGAACGTATCCTTAAGTTTCTCATCGAAGAATGCTTGAATTCGGGATCGGAGGGTCTCGCGCAAAGGGAAGAGGAAGTCAAAGTGGTTTTGGTCCCGCTGACAAATACAGAGAAGCACGCGATCGCGCACGAAGCACCGAAACTCAAGGGACGGATTGAAGTTGACGTATTTGCGAAGCACGAGATGGTATGGAACGTCCGGAGTGGTGGTCGAATCTAGCGTATCTGGGACGCAATCGTCAAAGGGAAGCTCCAGGTCATGACTGATAAAGTCACTGCTTTTCAACAGCAGGTAGATGTCGTTTGGTGTGCGGCACTGCATATCGTTTGTCGCGGCCATCCAGGTTGCATCCTTGGGGGCACTCCAATTCAACTTCGGGGTAATGATACCTCCAAGCTCGGAGATTGTCGTCTTGATCTGGGTGTGGATTTCTTCCCATTCGGTCGATGGGTCTGGCTGTTCGTCGGCCTCGTCATCGGAATACGTGTCTAGGTTGTCGTCGTCTGTGGGCGTGGCATTTTCGGGAGGCAATACGATACCGTCTGCGCGGAGATAGGAGATGAAAGGCAGTGTCAACGGGATAAGACGCGATTTGGGTGTGAGCGCACGGTAGCTGGGATAATCCTATGAGTACAGTGTGTAATGTACGAGTAGAAAAACATACCGAGGTTGCCAGTCATGATAAGAACAGTGCAAGATGTGAGAGTGAGTGACTGGAGGAAAGGGGAGTCGTTGAGGCAGGTCTGTTGAGGCCTCCGCCGAAGGCGGCACCTCAGTGTCAGAGTGAGGCATTATATCTGCAGCTGTTGTGATCTTCAAGATGTTCAAAAATATGTCTAGAAGTGGGGGGCAGAAAATGATAGGGAAGTCATTCCGCGGGGTTTTATTTCGCAGGATGAGTCAAATCACTTGCCTCTTGCGGTATGGTCAGTACCGAAATGACAGTACTTTACAGCTCCACGCAGTGAATTTCTGGAATACTCTCTCACAGGGTCCATGCTTTTTACATACCGCCTTTGTTCAGGTACCAGACCGTAGGACTAGACCTACTTTAGGTAGGCGGTGTAGATTTGGATTGGCTGTTCCAGAGATACATTGCAGGTCACTGTATCCTCCTGCCACGTGCTGCCTCAGGCACACACCGTAAGCGTCATTACTGCCTGTGTAGCAAGACGAAGTGGCAGCATTCCGCTCCGTTGGCTACTCTCGCCTTCCACCTGTTTCCTATTCCATAATGGCGTCAGACGGCCCAGATCCACAGAGCTTGAAGTCATGGCAGGATGCATTCCAGTATCCAATTCCTACTGTGCGCCGTGTGGAACAGGAGCTCCGCCGGGACATCGCCAGCAATAAGGAGAAGCTCCGAGCTCTTGTTGGGTATGACTGCAAATGCCAATCAGATCGTATTCCAAGCTAATTCTGTGCACGTATCCAGGACGAGATATCGAGAGCTTGTTGGAACGGCCGAAACGATCGTATCGATGAACCGCGAGATGCAGGAGGTGGATGCGACCCTGGCAGATGTCGGCCGAAGATGCAACCCACGATTAATGGAGAAGAAAGTTACACATTTCAGTCAAATCAAGGGAGATATTCACGACAAAGGTACAGATTACCGCGTACTTGGGCCTCCACATGCTCGGGAGCTGATCAGGTTTTAGGCGCAAGCAAACGAGCCGTTGGAGCCCAGCTTGCTTTGCTTCACCGCTGTGAGACGGCTATATCTCGTGTATTGAGGAGGCGTGATTCTCTTCTTCTAGGAGCCAAGCTTGTGGTTGTGTCTCGACTCCTGCATAAAGCACTGTCTCAGCAAAAGACCGTTCCGCCATTTCTTGAAAGCCTACGGAATCAGATTGCTTCACTGAGGCAAACCCTTTTGAGAAGAGTCAACAAGTGCCTAGCCTCAGATTCATCAACAGCGGATGATATCATTGAGGTCTTAGCTTCTTACTGCCTAGCTACGAGCTCCTCCTCCGAAGATGCTATTCGTCACTTTCATAGGGTACGAGAGGAGGTCATTGAGAGCCAGCTAGGGCTTGATGACCCGTCAGGAGGAAACATTCTGAAGGCCTTGGGACTATACGTTAGTACACTTCAAATATCTAAGATCTTACTTTCCCGTCGTCTATCGGATGTTCTTGGCAAGTTGAAAGCACGCCCTATCCTGACTGATCCGGAAATTCACAATCTTGACGACCTGAACCTTGATGTTTTGGGGCGCTGGGTGCCACCCGATGTGAGTAACTTCACACCTTGGATCAAACTGAGCGAGCTGTCCAAGTCCGAAGTTGAGAAAACACTGAAAAAATGGTCGAGACAAGCCTTTGAGAAATTTGTCCAAGGATGTCAGAAGAACTTGGAAAGCTGGCTAGGCTTCACAAAGTTACTTTCGCTTCGAGAAAAGGCCTTGGAATTCTGGCTGCGCTCCTGGACCTCGACAATCACACATTCATCCCTTCAAGTGTTAGAAGGCCTTCGAGGGATCTTTAACAACCGTCTGATGGATATCTTATCTGATCAAGCAAGGTCGTTGACAGACTTTGGCCAGGATATCACATCTAAGATCTCAGCCTGGGACAATACAGATCACGTAGCCGCTCAGTCACTTTGGGATCATGAACTGATGGTCTCCGATTACTCAAATGGCGCTGACGCCTTCAAATCAGCCATTGCTGATAGACTCCTTGGCCGTGATGGAGAGGTTTCTAATATGTTAAGGGGATATCAATCTTGGCTCACATCTATTGAAAAGTCCAAAGAGGCCATTGATGAACTACGGCAGATCCGGTGGAAAGACATTATTGAGGAGGGCGATGATGAAGACTTTGACCAAGATACCACAGCGGCATTAAGCGAAGACGACCCTCGACTGCTACAGGACGCACTTCAGTCTGCTGTTAGGAAAGCCTTCGATGATCTTCAATCTTCATTTGGCGATGCATTCCAAGCCTTTGGAGACACGAATCATAGTGGAAAGGCTGCATTTATTCTTAGACTCATCAGGCTTGTTCGGCGAGGCTTCCCCAACCAACTTATTACCGATGAATTTACTTTCTCGAGAGATATTGTGCCTCAGTTGCAGGAAATGCTTGCCACTGAGGTGGTTACGCAAACATCTTTGTCGAAATTGCTAGCCAAACCGGGTGCTCGGGTTCCAGGTAGAAGCCTTTGGGAAGGCGATCCTGAACTTCCGATCCAACCATCTCCCTCTACTTTCAAGCTGCTACGTCGCCTTGTAGGGTCCATGGATCGTTGCGGCCCGGGGCTTTGGGATGTCACAACCGTTCAAGTTCTCAAGCGAACCTTACAAAGGGAGCTCTCAAACACTATCCCCACGACTATCGAAGCTCTGAGCTGCTGTAACACTGATAAAAGCGAAGAAAATACCGATTTGGATGGGGGAAAATCCCCCAGTGAAGAGGAAGGTCAAAACAGTGAAGAAGATGAGCGGGCAAAGGGTGAAGACATAAACGAGTCACGAAACGCTCACGATCTGAAACTTCAACTCTATTTTGATACGGCCTATCTGAACAATGCGTTGGCAGTGAAGGGCTCCGAACAGAATCTACTAATGGACGTTCTAGAAAAGCTTCGCGGCGATCTTGGATCTGCGGAAAACACTGCCAGAACCATGGAACATAATGCTGCTGAGTATTGGAAGCGTACCCAACTGTTGTTCGGGCTTTTAGCAATCGGTGGGGGGCAGTAAGTTGCCGTAATTCTATTTTAAGATACAGAGAGGCAGATAGCACCAGGAGAAGTCTGTTTGTATATAGTATTGAACAATGAACATGGGGAAGAGGAGTTGGACTCTGCTAGTCTGTGATACGGTAAGCAGCAGATACCTTAATGAGAATAAGATGCGGCTGTAATCCGCTAATCCCAGGCAGGTTTAGCGCTTTCCGCGGGGGATTCTCACCGCCCACGTCACGTTTCCGGGGACTGCATCAAGTTGGCCGCGGGAAAACGGAATGGTTCTGGTGACCGACTCATCCGCCACACCTGCTCCATGTTTCCAACGCCGTCTTTCCCTGGACAAACTCCATAATCATTCCCTTCGCCATGGCTACCCCGAGGCTACCCTTCCTCTACCCGAACTTGATGCGCGCCGTACGTTCATGCGAACCCGCTACCCATCGCTCCGTACGGATCCCGTCCAAGAACGGCCACGCTCCTTTTCATACCACTCGGCGGCAGGCCCAAGAAACATACCATCGACGATACGGGCCTGCTGCTGCGGAGGCAAACCTGCCACCTCCACAACGACCTAAAGATGAATTGAATCATTCACAAGTGCCACAGCAAGCGCCGAAGGATACCAACACTCCGCCGAACACTGCCCCTCCCGAAAAACTGCCCCCCAAGGATACCAAGAGTAACATCCCAGAAGCGCCTACCCAAGGGAAGGACCAAGAGACCTCGGAGCCTAGCGACAAGAAGAAATCGGACGAGCCCACTCCGCACGAGGAATCTGCAAACGAAAGCCACGACGTCGAGCCGCTCTCCGCCTCTCCAACCGAGGATGTTGGGGAAGAGCGACACGAAGAGCGACATGAGGAGCAACACGAGCCTCCAGATAGATCAGGCCCTCTCGATGATGTGCTTCATATGCCTTCTCCCTCGTCCTATCTGATGCCGTCCGATGCGGCGACTCCCAGTGGCAAACCACATTTGGCGCCGCCCCCCTATATTCATCATTTCGATACCTACTCCCTAGTCCGTGACCTCTCCAAAGGTGGTTTTACGGAAGACCAGTCTGTCACAATCATGAAAGCAGTGCGGAATATCTTGCACAACAATCTCGATATGGCGAGACAGAACTTGACTTCTAAGTCTGATGTTGAGAATGAGTCATATCTATTCAAGGCGGCTTGCTCGGAGCTCCAGTCATCCTTACAGACCGCTCGGAACTCCGAAATGCAGCGACAGCGTGCGTCGCGGACACAACTTCAACACGAGGCCGATATTCTCTCCCAGCGAACGAACCAAGAGCTTGCTGGTTTAAAAGACGATATTAAGGCGATGTTCAACGACCATAAGATGACGACGCGGGAGCAACAACGGAGCATAGATACCTCTGTTCAGGAGCTTAACTATAAGATCACGGTCTCTCTAAACAGCGACGGTAAAAGTGAGATTGAGGGTCTCCGTTGGATTCTGACGAGAAGGGCCGCGTTCGCTATTGCCGCAAGCGCTTGTATGTCCCTTCATGTTCTCGTCGAATGTTCTAAATACTGACCAGACACAGTCATGATCATCTCGTTCCTTAAATTCTATTCGTCACGCAAGGCACAAGACGCTGCTGAGGAGAAGAAAAAAAAGGTGGCGGCTAAAAAAGCTACAGAGAAACAGGCAGCGAAGGAACCCATAATTGGTTCTGTCGTGCCAGTTCCAGAGGTACATCTTACCGAATCTCTGGGCTGAGAACGCTGGTTTTATGACCTCAATGGTAGTTTTCATTTCCCTTTGTAACTGCATGTACAATATACTGTTATGCTCGGCTATACGTTCACTACTTCGACGCACTGGACTCGCCCCTTTGCTACATTTATCTTCGATACCCCAGGGTCACGCTTCCAGATGGAATATAGATATATAGACTTTCATTGAATTGCACATCTTCATGGCAGATTACCTGCACCCCCCTACATGTCCGTATGCCCACAACTCTTCCAATTTAAAACTGACCATTGACAACGTGCTTAATATGCCCGCATCAAGGAAAGGCGAGAGGGGAAAAAATTGTATATGGAATTCGTTTATAGTATTATTGTCTTAACATAAACACATCAAGATAGGGATTCATTATATTAGAAACATGAAGATAGTTTGGGGGTCTGAAGGCAAAGAATGCCCAAAGAAACACATAGCGCGGAGTCTCTAGAGCTCTAAAAATCAAATCTCAAAGCAATAGTAGGCTCATTTTGCTGGGCTTGCACACTGTCTCTGGTACTCTTATTGGCACCAGAGTCAACATTCACACTTCGAAGGATGTCCTCGAGATGAGCTTTCTGTTCTGGAGTCATCGTAGCCACAAGAGCCCGGAACACCGACTGGTCTGTCTTGGCGAGTTCCAGTAGATGAACAGCCGTCTCTTTGTAAACTGCTTGCCCTTCTCTTTTTCCACGTGCAAGGAGGGCCGACATGATGATGGACAGGGCAGTGGGTATATCGCTGGCGTTGCTAACGTAGGAGACTAGTGTGCGGGCGATGACGGTTCTTGAATTCTCTGGGTCGTTGGGGACGTCGCCATTGTCCATGGGGCAGCCTACTAAGAAGCTGATCAGGCGAGGGAACAAGTATTTCGCAATTACTTCTTCTGTGGGAGATCCTGTTGAAGACAGAAGGATTGATCGGAGGCAGCCTGCCGCAACGTTTGCGAGACCGACATCCTGAAGGCAGTCCAGGAACTCGTTGAGGATGCGGACAATAGTGGGGTCATTAGGCGGGAGGACATGGCCTCCTGTGGTTAATAAGATGGTAATCGCCAAAAGCGTGTTCTTGGCGCAAGGCAAAGAAGACTCGGACTCGCGACGCTGGGCGATTGTGAGAGTGGTGAGGAAACGGGTGAGGCAGCCGCGCAACTGGCGCGCGACCACGTGAAGGTCGTCAGACTTTTCTGGTCCAACGTCCTTCGGATGGCTTATACTTTGAACAAAATGTTTGAAAATTGGAAGTGCCTGAGGAACGACCTCTGATTGGCATAGCCCAGTGGCAAGAATGGTGGTGAATATGTGTAAGATGCATGCGTTCAGGTCATTGCGAATGATGGACGGGAAAATGGACGCAACGTTCACAAGAGATGACAAGGCGAGACGGATGAGTGATAGAGCATCATCTGATCCCACGTTGAACCGCGCAAGAGGAACCGACTCACGAAGGTTCGGTAGTAGCCCGGCAAGAACAAGAATGATACTTCTGGTCAGCTCGAAGAGCTGCTCAATATCATCGGACAAATGATCGCTTCGTCCCTCGCTGCCCTTTGCAGAGGGATGATCCAGAGACAAGTTTCGCGCTATTTCAACGATGACATTCTGGATGGGCGTCCCTTCAGTCAACGCGAGACGGTCAAGGGAATCCATTGTCTCCGAAAAGATAGCATCCTGGTAGATGGCATTTCCGGATATTATTGGCCGGAGAATCCGCTTGAGAGCCTGCAGAATCTCTAGTCTCTGCGACGCCGTAGTAGACTGGTCAACAAGGGCTTCGAATGCCAAACCGAATAGAACGAAGAAGAACGCAACTGGTTCATCGCGGTAATTAATGTCGTTTCCTTTTTTCTTTGTCTCTCCGTTCGTTACATCTTCATCGTCCGGAGACTTCTCAACAGGTTCCTCATCTGGTTTCATTTTTCCGTCCAATGCGTCGAAGACGAAATCAATATCCTTTTCCACTAAGCCCGCGATGGCATCGACGAGGCTCAGCCAAGTGTCTTGATAGAACTATAGGTAATGTCAGCTTCCGTGCAATAAGACAATCATAATTTAGGCGTGAGTGGCTGACCTTGAGAAGAGTCTCTCGATTCAAAGCAGCATATACCTCGTCCAAATCATTGCTCAGCGGCCCCGTTCCTAAACTACCAGAAATGTCTGGTTCGAACCGTAGGCGAGCATATTCCTGAAGGGAAGAAAGCCACAGCGGCGTAAGTTTGGCGAGATGAGATTGGACTACCTCATTCAGATAATCTTGCTCGATACTTGCTACTTGAAGCCGAGCCCAAGCAGAATACAGCGCCATCTTTACCATAACCCTGGCGTTTGAGTTGAGACCCTTCAAGTCTCCAATCTCAGTAGTGTCCGGATTTCCTGTAGAATATTAGTTAGTATAAGTATTGATAAAATTAAATCTCATGACTCACTTGAGAAGTTCTCAAGACCCAGCACTAGTAATTTTAATATCCTGCCCATCCTGTCTACGTTTGTTACAATTCCTGTTGCAATGAAGGTAGCCGAGACATTGATGGCCCCTGATGCCAACTCGGGAGAAGAGTCCGCTGCAAATGCTGGTGTAAGTGCAGAACCGATCTGAGCTTGGTATTGCTCCAGGAGAGACGCTTCTGCGAAGTCTGGATCTGGAGTCTTGCCAAACATCTGGAAAGGGTGTCAGTTTGGTGACAAGCATCGAATGAAATACAGACTTACCCTAAGAACTTGATCGAGGATTTTGAGACCCCATACTCGCAGTTCTATCACGTTGGCAGTAGATGCCGAGAATGCCATCCTCACAATATCTCCCACTCTCTGTTGCAGGGCCAGCTCAGCAGGAATTGTCTGATCAGGCAAGATCTCTTGCTCTACCGTTGCCAAAAGTTCGCTAAGGCAACTGAGGACGAAGTTGCGGGTTTGCCATTTCAGTAGTTCTTGCCCAGGAACAGCCTCATTTACAACGTCTGACTGCCCAGCCCCGGCGATGGCAGATGCAAAGCCGGCAACTTCATCGTCCGGTATATCATTGACAGCAGATTTGACAGCTGGGGTGGGAGGTGGCTCTTCCACTTTACCACGAGTCTTTGTCAATGTGTTATGGAAGCGCTGTACCCACAGCTCAGTCTCCTCTAGAGCAGTCTGCTGCAACCAGTCTTGAATCATGCTCCTGAGGTTCGCATTATCTGGCGTATCGTCGAAGGCAAGCCAGATGCCTTCCTCTAGGGCCGGTGCAGCTTCCAGAACCGATACCGAGTCTCGCTTCATGAGGTTACTTAGTCCTCTGATGGCCACATCCCTCATTAATAGGTTATCCGCAGCGAGCTCGGTCTGCAGACGTTTTACATATCCTGAGAAATCCACGTAATTGGGAGCATAAAGTGACAAATGATCCAGGCATTTAGAGCTTTCAGAAACCAAAGCCGGGTTATCCTCCAACTGAAACTGCCGAAGAAGAGTGAGTATAAGGTTGCGCGTTTTGGCAATGTCTTGGAGATCGGGACCCAAAACGTTGATCAAAGAATCCACGCAACGGCTTATGACTATTGGCGTAAGGTAAGACATTTCGATATTAGAGGTTGCAAGAGTAGCAGACTCCTCGTTGTGGGTATCTGCGTAATACACTTGAGCAAGCATACCGAGCGAGCTTGAGACAAATGGCGAAAATGTCAAGCCCGCAGAGTTAGCCACTCTTTCCAGCCCTCCAAGCGCCCAGAAATGAACCACGGGGTGAGGGTCATTGCACAAGGACATGAGGACACCGACGATAGTTTTGAGGTGCAGACCAGCTGCCATGCCACCTACCTGAGAATGAATGCAACCCAAGGCAGCAGCACAGCCAGCACGAGCATTTGGCTCTCTGTTGTCTACGATTGTGTCGACAAGCCAATTGATCTGCGAGGTAGTGAAGGTATTCCCAGAACTCTCACACAGTCTTCCGAGAGCTTCCACCCCAATGGTTCGAACAACTGGATCAGCATCGGTTACAAATTTCTAAGACAGTTAGTTCAGTGACTCGTCACATAGATTTCGGAGCATCCTACCTGCAACAGCTCTTGCAATATCTTGTCAGTCGTAGGGTTGAGCTTTCCACTCGTCGAATTAGAATCTTTGAGGGCAACCTTCAAGGCCTCGAGCAATGCCACAGCGATGTTAACTACCATGGCAGCTTTGCGACCGGGGTTGCGCTGCAAGCTCGAAGAGGAAAGGAAGGTTGCAATCTGCTCTACGCTACTTTCTTGTACTTTGGGAGCATGCAATGGAATAGCAACGGAGAAAAGCTCAATAGCAGCATTGACAACGCCAGTAGAATGCGGATCGGCTAGCAGACAGCCGCCATGTCTTGATGCGTATAGAAGGGCAGAGTCATGCTCACTCCCTTGACAAATAGGGAAAGTTAACTTGATGGGTCAGTTCTACCTGGACTAGCTCTAGGGAAAGTCGGTATACTTACAGCGTCATCAATAGCCTGGTCTGCCGATTCCACTGCTGACCAAGCCGGTCCATTATCATTCTCATGTTTTCCGGAGAGCGTCATACGAACGTACTCCCTCGCCAATCCAGTTAAACCAAACGCAAAATTGTCATTTAGATCCCACAAACTTTCGAACTGCGCTGTAGAAGCAGCAATTGAGCTTTCAAGAGGACCGGACTGGGCGAGCTCTGGCTCCGCAAAGGACGAAATAGCTAGACTTAAAAGACTGGTCTGAGAGATTATATCTCCATGGCTGAGAGGGTGAACATGGATCAGCTTGGAGAAGCACTGCAATACACGCCGCCGAACCATGGTCGCAATATCATGCAATTGCAGGGAAGGATGAAGACGCTGAGAGATATCCGTCACAGACTTCTGACGGGGCAGGTCATCAAGAAAGCCAACAGTGTTCTGTAGCATAGTAGCGATTCTCCTCGCGCCGTCTGCCGTGATCAATTTGCTATTAAACTCTAGGAACGCTAACAACGACCCCAGTGCAAATTCCCTAACATGGGCAAGGAAGCTCATCTCCAAGTTCCCACGCTGAGCAAAGTTTTCTTTGCCAAGGTGCTTGGGAAGCGCATTTTTCCACAAGAGCATCAACTGTGACAGATGTATTTTCACGAAGCTAGGCCCCAGAGGCATTAGGCCTCCGATCAAAATCCAAGCAACCTGAATTTGTGTACTCGCGGCACGCAGTTCGGAGTTGCTGCTCGTCTTCAGGAGATCTGTTGCTTGAGTGAATACCCGAGAATAAACATCAACGGAGCCGTAGAGCGGCTGCAGTCTAGAGGTACTCAACATGGCAGACAGCCCATTTGCATAACCGACACAGCGTCGTGGCGCTTGGCGGGGTGTAGAAAGTTGCCCGACCTCCCTGTTCAAGCTATTTAGACAAATCGTAACGCACGACAACAACTGATGAGGGCAGGCAAGTACAAAGCTGCGCAGACAATGTGCAACATGGACCTGCACAGTATAGCTGGGGTGAGGAAGAACCTGAAGAAGAGCTTCACGGCAGGGCTCAGCTAGGGACACGAAGGCAGAGCCAAGGGATGAAATTAAAGAGGACAGTGCACTAAGAGCGCTAGTTAACGTGTACTTGCTAGGTTCACGACGTTCCTGGATGACTTGAGGGTAATCCTTAAGAATTTCGTTGATCAACCACTTCGCAGCGTTGAGCTGGCTGTTTTCACTAAGCGACTCACGACCAACAGTGTCCTCTAAGATACTTTTGACAAACTTTCTCGTCATGAGAAGTCTGAATCGATTATATGTAACAGTTGGGTGATTCAGGAGGTCAAACAGAAGGTGGTTTGCAATTTCACCATAGCGTTCTTCAACAAATTTGTTGCCCAAAATACGCAGGACATGTTTATAACAGATTGCAATACCTGCGCGTGAACGATTGGATGTTGTGCTGCGCAAATATTGGGTGGATAGTTGGCGAAGAAGGTCGGGTAGAAGGAAGAACAGACGCGACTCGGGTTTCTTGGATACGGACGATTCAGAGACCTCCGCCTCTTCCTCGTCCTCCCCAGGTCGCGGTGCTGGCTTTTTCGATTGTCTCTTTGCTTTCTTGGACTTTGGCATCGGAGCAACCTTGGCTTCTGTGGCATGCAGTTTCGCTAGCGCTCGCGCCAGGCAAGCCGCAGCAGCATGTCTGACTGGAGCCGCTGGGCTGTCAATAACTTTCCAGGTGACTGTCTTGACATGGTCGAAATCATTTGCATTATCGAAGAACGGCGTGGTGTTCACTAGCTGCTCTAAGCATCGGCAAGCATGAACCTGGACGAATGTCGATTTATCTCCGGTAGCTGCATTGCGAGCCTGCTTCCAAATATCTCGCGCCGCCGCTTCATCCACTGGAATCCCCACGCCAACAACCACCTTCCGCAATACTGCAAAAATAGATCCGCGCAGGCCAGTATTATTGTTGGAGTTCTTCAACAGTTTGAGTAGGCTGGAAATGACAATGCCCGCTTGCGCAAAGACACTTTCACCGGCGACCACGAATACCTCACCCAAACAGTGAGCTGCAGCGAATTTGGTTCTAAGCTCTTCATGCTTCCCTGCATTCAGAAGCCCAAGCAAATCAGTGACTGTTTCGAACAGGACCCCGCGATCGCCTTTGCTGAATATAGCTCCAAAACATCGTCCCAGGTTATTGCGCACAACTCGCGTGATCGTCGGAGAGGAAAGAGTGAGGATTTTGAACAACTCCTTTTTCAGGAATTTCTGCTGTGCCGAAACCTGCGGCTTTTCTAGTCCTGAAATATACTGTACTAGGTCCGATGTGAATGTGAGGAGGTAAAGGTCCTGCTGTTCGGAGGGGAGGGCATGGAGCTTGGTGACATCCAACTCCGCTCGGGGAGGCACATTGTCGGAGGAAGTACGTGCAGCGGTTTCAGATGAAGACATTGAATTCGATAGTTCCGATCAGGGCGTTGCCAATAAGGTTTCCCTGAGAGGAAAATAATACGTATCTAAATTAAGGAGAAGGAAACTGGTGATATGTGCGACGGAATAAATGAGTGTCTTGTCTAAATACGGGATACTATATCGGAGACGGGCCCCCTTCTCGGGGCACCTGGCCACACCTCCGTCCGGGGGTGGGCGACGGAGAAAATGTCGGGCCGGTAGTCCATAGATAGGACCATCATAGAGCATTCTCATATATGCGTACGCACACCTTAAATGCGCCTCCATTGCTCGGCGAGAACCTTGACCATGACGGCAATTGTGAACAGAGGCTTATTCCGGAACGGCGCGCGCTCCCAATCGGTGTGCTATTTTTGTCGTGGCTTCGCCAGCAGTTCTCCCTCGTTCGCGGGACATAATCGATGGTCTCAGATCAAACATGACAAGGCAAAGAATGACAAGGCGAAAAGTAAGGAGCGCCAAATTATCGGCAAGGAAATCAGTAGCGCGACGCAAAGTATGCTTTTTGATTGACCCCGCCCTCATAACATGCGCAAGCTAACAGTTATCATCAGTGTGGGGAGCGGATCCAAAGTTCAATCCCCGGCTGACCCTTGCCCTCTCGAACGCGAAACGAGCCGGAATCCCAAAGACCGTGATCGAGGCAGCGATCGCAAGAGGTCAGGGTATAAGCGTAACTGGCGAGGCCCTCGAGCAAGTCACCATCGAGGCTATACTGCCCCATTCCGTTGCGGCCGTTGTCGAATGTCAAACTGACCAGAAGGCGCGCATCTTGCAAGATCTCCGCTATGCTATCAAAGATGCTGGTGGAACCGTCACCCCAACTACCTATCTCTTTGAAAAGAAGGGAAGGATAATCTTCGAAAAGAAAGACGGCCTGAACCCAGATGACTATCTTGATCAGGCTATTGAAGCTGGTGCTATGGACATTACGGTAGATGAAGAAGGCCGTCTCGTTGTGTTCACAGAGCCAACAGAAACAAAGAGTGTGGGTGAAGCTTTGACAAAGTCATCTCAGCTCACAATCGAAGAACTAGAAATTATTTGGGATCCGAACCAAGACACCTTGGTCGAGCTGACGGAGGATGAACATGTGAGGGAAATAGAGGACATCCTTAGTACCCTTCGTGAGGAGTCGAGCGTTCGTGACATCTATCTGAACACTACGCAACAGCTCTGATGCTAGGTATACTCTACCCAGTTTATGTCCCACTTACGACACCTGTATAGTACGCTGCAGTGATTATAGAATACATAATAGATGTACAGTAGAGATAGAGCGCTTACTAGGTTCTTTGGACGGGCTACACAAGTTGGAAGCATAGGTAAGTGTCATTTCGTGTTATTGTCATCCTATCATTCTTTCCGTAAGGCCTTCATCGTGCTCCGCATTAAGCTTCCAATGCCAATACTTCCTGTCGCTTCCAGCCAGTCCAACATTCGCACTCTGTATTCCTGCCAAGGTACCTTAATGCCGCCTTCCTTCTCCAAGGCACTGAGTGCTTTCTGGGTTACTGGTCTCTTTAGCCTAGGCTGGTTTTCGCCGAGATCGCTTTCCTCCTCAATATCGGCGAAGCAAGCAGCGGACATATTACAGAGTGCGACATTATGGCTAAGAGAGAACATCGAAGACAGATTATACGTAAAAGCTGTCTCTCTCTTCCTTTCTCGAGAGCTGTCTGTTGCATCCCGGACATATTGCGTGAGTGCAGCGATTGTAGGAGCAGGTATCAAACAGCCTAATGCGTTGGGGTCGTCCCCATTTAGGCCTCGGTTTCGCCATATGAGGTTACAAATATCCATAATGTAGCCGTTGAATTGGCCCACCAACTGTGTTGGATATAGTGATTCGGCAGAACCCGGGGTTTGGAGCACCTTAGAAGTCAAGGAAGCTTCGAAGGCCGATTTATAGCTGGCAAGCACGGAACTCATTATCGAAATAATGGAGTTGATCGGAGTAAAGATGAGTGTGTAGACGGTGGGAGCCATTGGAATCGCAATACGAATGTTTCCGTTTAGGTGTGAATGCGAAAATAATTCAGCTAAAACACAATAAAATTCAGTGACAGATAGGGCAGCCGGTCTTGGGCTCTCCATATTGTCAGCAGGCGCCTGCTGAACAGCTGGGCATTCGAGAATAGACAGCGCCAACAGCTCTGCGTGTGAGATCAAACGGCCCAGTGGTTTAGATTCTTCCAAAGTGAATGGCTGGGCCCTTAATTTGACACCCCATTGGCGAATGATAGAAGTATAGAAGTCCAATAGGCTAGATCTGGGAAACAGTTTGTCCGTAAGTACGGCATATTCGAGTGGCTCCAAGAAATCATGTTTTATAGAGTCATAATCCTCGATATCAAGGTATTCGAGGAGGTAGAATATTTGCTCTCTCATATCTCTGCCGTTCCATGACAGAAGATACGATTTCAAGAACGCGGCAACTGGGGAAGGAATTTCCTAATATGTTCTTTAGTGTTAAAATAATCAGTATCCAGCTGCAATCTCGTACCTTTGTGTATTGTACATAGTCCACAGCAAGAGACATTATGTAGCTCAAGGATTCCAGTTTCTCATCTTTGTCTTCAGCATCCTCCAGGTTTTCGTTAAAAAAGCTTCTCCACCAATCATCCAAACGGTGGCTAGCGAACTTAGGCTGGACAAGAAACAAGTACTTTTGGGCGATACCATCTCCAATCATCGATATGATCTGGTTTGGCAACTCAATTTTGTCAAGCTTGTCAACAAAGTGGTCAACACCACGTAGTTCTTCCAAGGATGTGCGTCCATAGGAGACACGTGAAGTCTGGACATCCGGTACCAGGACCTCCATTTTGCTTCTTTTCGATATTCCACGGTGCACCACTTGAAAATTCCGGGGCTGGGTAGCCTGTAGCCTTTCCATGTTTGTGTCTTGGAGAAGCCTCACATGGCTGGACCATTCAGGGTCTGGATGCTTGAAGAACAGTCCCTTCCTCCCAGATACACCCAGGTCCCCAACAATGACATCAGGGCAGTAGTTCTTAAAGACTTTAAGTAGTGTAACAAGTTCTCTTTCATCACCACCAGAAGTAACAACCAGTTCCATCAGGGCTTGTATCCTAAATGGCTTAACATGCTTGCGCCGTGTAACCAGGGAAAGAAGATGGCATAGAGGTTTGCGCAGACTTATCATGTCTAGATGGTTAAAAAGTACGGCATAAAGCTTGGATAAGTGAGACCTATCAGCAAGGAACTCATGTACCATGATCAGCCATCGCAAGAGTAACGATTGTGTCGCAGGTGATGGTTTGTTCTTGTTAGGCCCAAGACAACACGCAATCTGCGTGACGAGGCTGGATGGCACACTTTCCACCGGATACAGGTTTTTAATAAGTGTAGTAATTGTACCTTGGTCAAGTTGACTGCGTGTCGTGGTAATCTTCACCAGACGCTCAAGCGCGATCTGGGAAAGACCGCCCTCATATGCGTGCGTAGCGATCGTTTTGGCCAGTTCTCCAGCATCTATATCACGTTGCTTAGAAGGCACGGAAGCAACTGCAAAAGGAAATCAGCACAGAAGAATTTATAGATTTTCCGTGAGTTCTAGATGTGATCTTACCTGCCTCGAGACGCTTGATTGCATCTAGTAGGCCAGTAGGCCTAGGCTCTGCGCCTGGTATTGCTGTCAGTAAACTTGTCCACTTCCAGGAGTTCGAAGGTAACGAACCTGTATCTGTATCAGACGACATGGTATGCTTTGGTATTAATCGTAACTACTGCAGCTGATTCTCATGCTCGCGCCTTTTGCCCCTACAAATGGCGTTGGTTCAGGATAACATCGGCTATTTTGCGTGCCGCCCGACCTGTCGCGTCGCCCCGAAAAATAGTGAGTAAACAGTCAATTCAACTCTCCCTTAAATGATATGCGGTAGCTATTCCCATTCGCATTTGTCATTCATTGATATATATTATCTTGTTGTATTCTTGACAATTTGTACATATTATCTTCCAATCGCGCAATCTTAACTTATGGGCATCTGCAATGATGGATGCAAGTAAATTCCATGGGCGCGGAAATTACGAACTTTACCAGATTTGGTCACTACCGCGATCTTCCTCAACATCATGTTGCGCAAGGCTCATGCCGCCGTCTCTTACTCGGTGATACTATGTTTAATGTGTAAAATATATATGATGTAAATACGTAATAGGACTGACATTCAACAATTAATACATTAAAAACTTTACAAGGTCGAAAGTAGGTGAGAAAGCAGGGTGTTTCGTTGTGTACTGAGTGAGACGATGCTCTAGTATGCCTCCAGTATAACAAAGTCCAGAAACCTCTGCTCAATAAACATATTTAGCTGAACAACCACCGGGCAGTCCTTTCCGAGTATGCTCCCCAACATAAGTAGATTCGGAATCTAAACCAAGGGCTGGCCTTACTTCCTCTTGCGGGTAGATGATTTCGAGGTATCTTTTCCGGACGCCTGGGATGGCGCCGCGGTTTCTGCCTTCTCTTTGACATCCTTGGCATCAACGGCTGGTGGCTCTTCCTCAGCATCGCTATCACCTCCCTGACCGAACTCGTTCACACGTGTGTAATCAACCCGGTACTTCCAGCCCTGGTAAAGCCAAACGAAGAAAATGACATCATCACGCAGAGTCGCAAGCCTGTGAAGCCACGGCATCTTGACCGTGAAAGCGAAAAGATCGTCGATGAAGGTGTTTAGGAACTTGTACATCAACGCTTTGCCAGGCATATGCGCAACAGACTAGGAACAGCAAGGTTAGCTAGGTTATGTAGCGGAATAAAAAAAAATACTAACCTTCAAGCGGTAGTTGATATACAAGCTGGGGACCATCATCAGGAAACCGTAGGCATAGACACTCCCAACAAGTGTTTCAATAATGTAGGAGTACCACGACTTGTGGGTGTTGTAGACCAAGCTGTACACTGCGTATGCAGCCAGGAGAGGTACGGCAATGATATAGAGATAGCGGAACGCGATTTCGTCGTACTCTTTGGTCTTCTGCTCTGTCTCAGTGAGTTTATGTTTGTCCTCAAATACCACAACATAAGGCAGGAAGGAGAAGAAAGAGTTCGGTGCTGGCTGCCGCAACCGGACATCGACAGTCTTTGTGATTTTCCAAGCTTCGAGGAGGATACCAAAGCCCTGACTGGCAAGAATCATCCAGGAAGTGTTCTCACTGTTATCCATGAGGTAGAGGAAAACAACTGCCTGCATAAAGACATTGGCCAAGATCGTACGAACGGACGTTCCAACGACGTCCTTCTTTTTGCGCCAGTGAGCCTATTACGGAAAGACTAGGTCAGTGCATTGCTCTAGATCTGCACGGGTTACAAACTCACAATATCATTCTTGAAGGCCAGAGTCTCGAAGACCATGTGAAGGATGGTCACGACACCAGTTGTGCCCAGCAGCCAGATGTTCGTATCCAAGAGGACCTCTTTCACCATTTCGAACTCAGTACCGTCACCGCCACCCGGTGTCGAAGCTCCAAAGGCAGCCTGTCGAGCAGTTTGTTTTGCGCTGTCATCGACGCTCGCCATCATGCTGAACTTCCAGTTCTGCAGATTGCTGAGGGTAATGCGAAGAGGCACGGTCTCCACGGTGGAATTAAGCTCCATCATATGACTCTTAAGTTGCCAAAAAGTGTTCAAGTAAACAATAGGGTAGTACCATCCATTCTTTCCAGAGGCGTCTCTTGCGCCAGATGCCTCTAGCTGCAAATGCGACCGGACAGCCGGATGAATCTGGCGGAATCGCTGGGTACCCGAATCAGGAATTAGAGATATCGTGAAGTTCGGGTGATAGTACGATGCGATGGAGACTTCCGGTGTGTTGTCTTCCACCTCTTCTTCAGCTTCGTCAGAACCTGCAAGAAGGTTCTTGAGCTTCTTGGCTTTTTTCTTCGGGAGATACTGGTTAAGTGGACGAAAGAAATAAATTGCAGAGTCCGTGCTGTAATCTTTGGCCGAGGGGTCAAGCTGATGCCCGGTAAGTCCGAGCATGAAGTGCGCGAAAAGAGTGCCATTCTGTTGTACTTCTTTGGGGATCTTGATGGTAGTATCAATTTCCCTGGTGTCACTGTAGTTTCCAAGAGTGAAGTTCTTCTCATTGAGCACAAGTTGGCTTGCCGGGCCAGACTTTGCAGTAGGAAGTACGACCGATGGCGAGACGTAGATGTTCATGTCCAAAGCACTGTCGGAAGGCCAAATCGGATTTATAACATCGGGGATAGCACTGTACTCCGTTATTTCGCTACGAGCTGGACGATCTGCGAAGGTAGGAATTCCACTCGGCTTCCCGCTAGTACCAGCATCGTTCTGCTGGCGGCCACCAAAGAATTGACTGAAGATGAACTGCGTCAGTAAGAAGAAAGCCAAACCCTGAAGGGCTCCCTTGAAGCCGGACTAAATGTATGATATGTCAGCGCGATCAGCCTGGTAAAAAATGACGCTACGTCGCATACGTACGCTAGACTCCGGCTCATCCCTGCGCTGTCTTTGTTCAGGCATTGTGCTCTCTTTTGACGTGACCCAGAGATACAGTGGCCTGGTCGACAAGAGAGGGATGGTAAAAGCAGAGGAAGGGAGGGAAGAGAAAAGAAAGGAAAAGGCCACGAACGGCGGACTGCTAGTAATCTGCTGAACTACGCCGCTTTGGTCCAGAACTCGGGTCGTTTTATCTTGGCGGGTCGAGGAATTGTTCTTATCGGCGCATGACATAACTAACGCGATTGTTCCCTCTGTGCTCATTTCTCCACATTTCCCAGCTCCACGAACACGAAAACCGTCCTGAACCGCAGTTGATCGGCCGCCCGGGTCCTCTACTACTTATCTAGATCGGTAACATCAGATCCTACAAATAATTGTCGCGCGGTCGACATGTGTGGCGCGTAGATATCATCAGCTTTGATCTAATGTCGGACAATCCTCCTTTCACCGAATCCCCCCGCCCTCAGTTTCCCGCCCATAATGAACCACGAGTATGGGTGATCACTGCTGGGGATTCGCCCATTGGGATCTCAGTCATACGCCAAATCCTCACGCACGGCGATTACGCATTGGTTGGGTTAGCACATTCGAGTCTAGAACGGGACGATTGCCGTCGAGATGAATTCGAGTCTTTCCTAGCCGAGATTGATAGTCACAGCCATGAGGGGTGGCGACAGCGATTCAAGTCCGTCCCTTTCGATATAAGGTGTGCACTCTGAAGATGCCTTCAAAATGACCTCGCTGTGGAGCGTCGGCTATAAAGGGGAGCGGAGTGAGCTTACATTCATCATGCAGGATGATAGGAGAATGTCAAGCACTTGTGGCAGATGCCGTTACAACATTCGGCAAGATAGACATTCTTCTTTGCTGTACAAGTCAAAGTATGGAATATGCAACATGCTCCTTTCGACGCCGGTCATTTAGCTAACTTACCTGCGCAGCCCTAGTAGGGGCGGTGGAGGAGTTCGGGGCCTCCCAACAAACGCTGAACATGGTTCGGGACCAATTCGAAATCAACTATTTCGGGCCCCTTAGCATTATAAAAGCAGCGCTTCCCCATATGAGGAAGCAGAAAACTGGGCACATCATGATTCTCTCGGGGATTAGTAAGGCTTAGTCAATACTGGTTTTAAGGGAGGTTAATCGCTAACGAAGACAGCCGCCCATATCGGCACGCCAGGGCTTGGGATGTACTGCGCAGCCGGATGGGCTCTTGAAGGGTTTTGCGACGTGAGTGCAATCTGTGCCGGAGGCTTCACCCATTTCTGCTAACTGTCACGCTGCAGAGTCTTGCATACGAGATAGCTCCCTTCAACCTCAAACTCACAATTATCCAATGTAGTATCGAAATTGGCATTCTCACGAATCTAGTTACTAGCGTGCCTCCAATAGTTCCCGCATATTCACCAGCTTCAAACCAAGCACCCCTTTTCCGCGGTATGTTAAACCGACTTGTGCCTCGTCTGCCCAACACACACACCGAAACGAATGGAACCCAAGAAACTGGCCAAATTGCCTCCGTTGATAATGGACCATTTTCACGCCCTGAAGTTACGGCAATGTATCCTCCACTCAGCTCTGCACATATGGAGGTCTTGGTCGCAGAAACGGTATATGCCATCACCGCGATAGGTGGGCATGAAAACCCACCCTCGCGCCATATAGTAGGGCAGGAGGGTGTTGCGAGTGTGAAGGAAAAGCTGAAAACTGTTAGCGAGGAGCTGGAGGACTTCATACAGTCTAGCTATGCCGTTGATTACGCTGCTGGCGGCGATCATAAAAGGACGTCCAAGGACGAAGCTATTTTCGGCATGGGGACAGGCAATGGTGGGGTCTAGAGCAAAAGTTCTAGATTTAATGAAAGGATTAATGAATTTGATGGTAATACATGTGTGGTATCTTTCGCTCATGACAAAGGAATATATGACCATTGCAGCAGTCAATTATCGCAAAGAAAGGGGTATGAACCCGCATATGAGACGTGAGAATTGACACAGGGACAGTATTTTCCTGTTAGGTGCCCTCAGAAGATCAACAAAATCAAGCTTACAGCTCTCTGAAGTCAATTGGCCAACGATTTGTTTCTCAGAAACCAAGCTTGTCTGACCTCCCATAGGCTACCCATATCCTGATTATTTCTGTACGCCCGAAAATCTTTCCAAGCATTTCCGTGTCGAACGTTCGCGGCACGGCCATCGATTTCTGAAATTTTGGTTGCAAGTGCGCTAGGCCCCGTAATACCGGAGACTGTGATCACCCCAGGTTCTTCCGATGTCCCTTCAACGATTGGTAGTCGTGGGGGGGTGTCTTCGACAGTGGCAGAGGGCTGTTCAAAAACGATTTTCGGATCTTGGCAGTCAGGTTCCGTAGTAGTTGTCTGAGTCATAACAGACGTAGTCATATTTGCTTCTGTTGGCGGTGGATTGGTGATTTCTACCATCACTTGAGCAGGTACAGGTATTGTAACTTCGGTGGAGGCTTTCACTTGGTCAACTTCGAGGTCCTCTGGTGTCTGTACCTTGGGCTTTCTGCTGCGGCCCTTCTTGCGAGGTTCCATCTGTATCTCTGATTTACGCTTGGTCGAGGATCCAGCCTCTAACATTGGATTAGTATCTGATTGCGTGTCTGCACTTGCTTGAGCAGTCCTATTTTGCTCTATCTCAGTAGTGGTCGTTATAACGCCACCTGGTTTCTCGATTTCCCCTATAACTAGGGCTTGCGAGTCCTTCAAAGGTAAGCTCTGGGGGGCAGGAAGAAATACCCGTTGATGAGGGGGCAATTCGAACGTTAACCGGTCATTTTGGATATGCACTATCTGTAGCAGCGTCAATTGAAGGGGTCCGAACGGAGCTATGGATGTAAACATACCCTGGCTTCTTTCTCCACTAGGAGGTTGCCTTTACTCTTGAAAGCTCGAGAATATTTCCATACATCGCCTACAAGAATAACTCCGTTGCTAATGAGGGTGCTCAATTTGACCTGGCTACTCTGTCCTGCGGCCAGCGTCTTGTCCATCTTCTGTTTCTGCCCCCAAAACTGCTCAAACTCTTCTTCTTTAAATTTGTCAAACTTCCCATCGGCCCGCTGCTGCATGGCCTCTTCGGCCTCCCGCAGCCAAACTGGATCGTAGCGGCCATTTTGAAGATCTAGCTGAAAGTGACGAATGCCGTCTCGCCAATTATTCGAGTAACGAAGAAACTCTTCTGGTAAAGGGGGGATCTGCGCATCAGGATCGTCCGGTGAAGGGTCCGGGTTCGGATGTAGGTCTTCAGGGAGTAGATCGAGTATTTCTCGTTTTTCAGACTCCTCAAGGCAGTTCCAGGCGTCGGGGTTGGCGAGTAATTTCTTGATTTGCCAATCAGTCAACACATTGCATTAGGTCACCATCATTCCGGAATCGTATAACATACCACAAGGTCCAAATATATAAGGTTGGAAGATGTACTCGTCATCAACTTGTCCTCAGCCCATGGATCCTTCGCCGCTCTCTTCGGATTTCTCTTCGGTTGCTTCTTGTTTGAGGACATTGCGACATGAGGCTCGCCCACGTCATTCGGGTCCGCGGTCTTAGCAGTATATGAACAATTCCTGGTGTAGAAACATTGTTACATGTGCCCCATATATGGCGCATCTGAGCACCGGTGTCTCAACTGCTCGTAGATAATAATTGTCACAAGCTAGATAAATATAGTATGGATAGTCTTACCTCGTTGGCTGCGTCCTTGTTTTGCCATGGCCGACCGCCTTGCGCTTGCGGGTCATTGCTTCTAGATGCCAGTCTGGACAACAACAGAAGTACTATATGCGCCGCTCCAGCTGAACTGCAACCAAAGCGTTATTCGAACAAGGTGAAGGTCTGATAGGCAAGAAGAGTTGTAATCAAAATGGTTAAATCGACTCAAATAGCCAGGCTTGATGGTAAGACGCAATGCGGGGAGATTAGGGGTTGTATGATGCAGTTGCTGATGTTGGTCAAGGCCTCATGCTGGCTGCGTCAGTAGACGATGAACAGGTCAGTTCACAGCCCATTCACCGTGAAACAATGACATATGAGTAACACTAAGTTTTCCATTATTCCAAATAGGCAGAAGTGGAGCTCTCCGAGATCAAGACACAAGCCAAAATGATTTTCCGCCGGTTGACTCGCAATTCCGCACCGCAAGCTAGCATTGAGTCTGGCCAATATAACCTACAGTGAGTCCGGTATACAAGGTGCAAGACGATACAAATACTAATTCCAGTATCTATCATAGCTATCTTATCCAAGATGATATCTGCTTCCTCTGTATATGCGACCGTTCCTACCCGCGCAAACTTGCCTTCACCTACCTCGCAGATCTCGCAACCGAGTTTACTACCACTTACTCCTCTGCGCAGTACCAGTCTCCCACCCTGCGACCATATGCATTTGTAGAATTTGATACATTTATTCAACGCACCAAGAAGCTGTACCAAGATAGTCGCGCTTCGCAAAACCTCGACCGACTAAACGATGAGCTTCGGGACGTAACGAAAGTGATGACAAAGAACATTGAGGACCTCCTATACCGAGGTGATAGCTTAGAGCGTATGGGCGAGTTGTCGGGGCGTCTGCGAGAGGACAGCAAGAAATACAGACGAGCCGCGGTGCGCATCAATTGGGAGCTGGTCATGAAACAGGTAACCTCCGCGTGTCCTTGTTCGTTCTCACTAAGCCCCAGTACTAACCTGCTGTACAGTATGGTCCAATTGCTGGTGTCGGGCTCCTTTTTATCTTTCTCATTTGGTTGCGCTTCTTCTAATTCCTTCCCTGAGCAACTGCTTACCGAGACCCGCTCATATGAATGTATGCATAGTTAATCTTCTTGATGGTTGCCGGACTCCATCCACCTTGATATGTTCAAAAACTGCCAATATTTTATGACCGACGAGCTTGGTTGCAAGGCGTAACCCTTTCTTTCCATGGGAACTTTACAAAGCATGTTCATCAAAGCGCCTCATAGATCATAACCCTGTCGTGTATAATAGGTCAATTGACCAGAATACTGTAAACAGTCCAAAATGTAAACGATGTCCTTGGGTCCCCTTCAAGCATGGCTGGCAACACCAGCTGACAACAAGCGTAAGGACGTAGGGAAGATGGTCCTGCGCTGATTTTCTAAAGAAGGTGCGTCGAGAACAGTGACTATCCGTGCCCACTTATATCTCATCTTCTTCCTCGTCGAAGTCGTCTTCCTCCCCCATGTCGTACAAAATGCGCCCGCCTTCCCCTGGGCCGTCACCTTGCTGTGCATCGAAGTATGGCAGCACCACCCCCTCTCTTTCTCTCCGCTGTCTGTCGGTGAGACGCAATTCGAAGGTAGACTCCGGCTCTTCTTCGTCTGCTCCAGCCACTGGCTCCTCCGGTGGACGATACAAGGGATGGTCGTCAAGCAGCGTTACAACCTCTTTCAAATGTTGGGGCGAGTACCGTGATGCGGGAGGTAATATATACCACTCTAAAACACCACGTCCACTCTTGCGCCTGTGTTCCATCTCCAGAACGATGCCTTCGGCCGAGTCCTTACCAATCGGCTTATCCAATCTTCCTAAGAGTACTCCATCCTGTTCCTCTTCGAGTCCAAAAACTGGGGCAGCTAGACTACGATCTCGAGCAGCCTTCTGGGCCAGTATGTGTGAGAAAGAATGTAGCCTTATGATTGTTGTTGCGAGATAGGTCAGCATTGAAAGAGGCGATGGCGAATAGGGGGATTGGGCCGGCAGGATTGGAACATCCTGATGGAATGTCACGACGAGCGAAACTTCGACCTTAGGTGCTGAAGGACTCGGGTGAGCTAGGAAAGAACTAAGAAACGTTGATAGTTGGGAGTGTGCATCGTTTGTTTTAGAGAGTAGAAGCGGGTTAATGGAATCTATAAGGATGAGACGTCCTATTGTTTGTTAGTCAGGGCCACCAATAACTCTAATACTCAGACTAGTCGGCACTAGACATACGAGGAGAAGGGGTTTTGGTTGAAGTAGCCTGGTAGGCCGCGCCGACTTCTTTAACTATCTGTGAGGGGCTTTTCCTTCGGGCGGAAACGAACGCATCAACACCATCTAAGGGCTTTAGTGTCTCAAAAGCAATAAGTGTGACATGAACTTTGGAGATCTGTACGAGCTTTTAGCTTTATCCTGCCTATGATACAAATATTCATCTCGCCCCATCAAAGGCCTGATGGGGTATCCAACCCCTTGAGTCCAGCAAATAGAGTAGACACAAGAAAGCCCGGGTCCGCTACAAAGGTCGAGATAATACAGAATAAGGAAAGCATCGACAACACATACCTTTGCGCGCCTAATATATTCTTTAACCAATGGGGTAGCTGGTTGTTCGAGTGAATCCAAGAGCAACGTGAGCGGAGACGCTGTATCTCTCAGACTTAGAAGCTTTGAGATTAAGAGTAAATTATGCGTTTGCCTGTGAGAAAGATTTGCAGGTGCCATCGCTATGGGCAGAGGAAACTGTAATTCTATGGTAGGCAGTTGCGTTGGTAGATCTAGGGAATAGCGGGGTTATTTTCGTGTGTCTGAGGGGTCGGAGACATCGGGCATAAAAGATTTCCCAAGAATAGGTGATCTTTGCCGTTGGCGACTTAGTCTGAGGCTCGGCGGGACGGGCCGTAGACACAAGACTGTTTGCCGCCCTGCAATCCAACTGGCAAGTGCAGCAGGCATCCATGAAGCGTTGATTTGCAGGCGCCAGGCTATTTAAACGCGAGCACGGAAATAAGCTACTGCGTACCTAAAAGCTTTATGTCAAGCTGGAGGTGGCTCAAATACAGTGACTTTTCCGTCACGATCCAGACTTGCCATTTTCGCTTCGGAAAATCGCGACAACCTACAATCTGACAAATATTTAGTCCGGAGTATACAAGTATTTCGACAATGTTCCCGTCGCGCATGAGCGTGGGGCAATAGACAGGGGCTATATGGAGGGAATGGCGAAGATTAAAAAAAAAAAAAAAGAAAGAAAGAAAGAAAGAAAGAAAGAAAGAAAAAGATATGCCACCACTACCTTCTAGCTTGGGGCGCAATAATTTATCATGCTGTCCTTGGCTTTTCTCCTTGAGCCAAGCCAGTCTATTTGTCTTTGTACTGGGAAGTAATCAATATTTCCTCCTAAGCCCTTGGGAAAATGTCAGAGGAACGGTTGGGGCGTGCCTGGATGTTAAAACAGACTCTGAGAGAAAGATTATATACAACCGTTGTGTCATTTACACTGGTAGAATAAAGATACTGTATATTGAATGGCGATCGATAGTCTCATACTACTCTTTGGTGGGCTAACTATTAACATTTGCTTTATTGGTAGATACTCGAAATTGCTCGCATTACAAAAATGAGCCAATCTTCTCGTAATTAAGACAGGTACATTAATAAACTAGAAGAATTAAGAGTATAGAAAGAACAGCCATACTATAATATATACAGCTCAAAGCTGATTGAAATGCGGCCATATGCATGAAGATTGACATTTGGTGATGCTTTGTAGCACTCCTCTTTGATATGGTTGTGTTTCAGGATTGTTGGAAATTAAACTTTACTTGATTAAGACCGACCGCGCAGATGGCATTCCTCGGCAACCGTAATATCTTCACGGTCTCAATTTCAATCCGGGTGCAACGCCAACCTTCAGCACTATCGACTTCTAAGCATTTGATACCCATTCTAAGCAAATAATGATGAAATAATTAACATATTATCGCAAAGTATCACGTTTATTTCGATTTTTCCCGGCCAACCTTCTCAGCTATTGTTTTACAGAGTCAACAACTCTACTACTCTAACTTATTCTTGAACGATCGCATCTTCAGACTGTCAACTAGATAACACCTTGTTCCCTACATACAAGGATGGCCGAACCACCCGCAAAGCGAGCCCGACGAGTCGATAGCTCGACAATGTGGGATATGGATGACCGGCCGACGCGTTCACCTGAACCAGACTCAGAATATAATAGGAGTCCTAGACGTGAAGCAAACTTAAAGGATGATGGGCGACGAGATGGACCGCGCGACGATCGAAGATACCGTTCCCGCTCAAGAGATAGAATGGACAGGCGGCGAGATAGGAGTAGGTCTAGGGATCGCCGGGACCGCGATCGGGATCGCGACAGGAGAGACAGAGACAGAAGCGGTAGCCGCGACAGATACTATGATAAGCGAGGTATGTTACGTGGTGTGGTTTTCTATTTGGATATGTGCTGATATTTGAATTTTGCAGGGTATCCTTCAAAAGGGGATAGATACCGTGACCGTTCTCGCTCCCCTCTTCGAAACGGGAACCGGGATAGATCCAGGACACCACCTCTTCGGGGAGCCAGGGGAGACCGCAGGAATGATCGCAAAGACCACCGGACACAGCCGAATGGTGCCGCTGACTCGAGGACTCCAAATCGGTACAAAGACGAAATGGATATGGACATCGATGATGCCGGGGAAGACGATGTTGAAGAAATGATGCGTCGAAGCATGGGATTTACCAAATTCAGGAGCACAAAGAATACCAAGGTACCTGGGAACGATGTCTATGGGGTGCGGAAGGAAAAGAAGACGGAATACAGACAGTATATGAACCGTATAGGAGGATTCAACCGACCACTCAGTCCTTCAAGATAATGGATGGATCAATTGCCTCTATTCGTTACTATTCGACCCCTTTCTACTTTTTCCTCTTTCTGCTCTTCTTTCGTATCTGTTAAGGCGGGACCAATTTTTTAGCTGGGGGTTTGACTACAGCCATATGCATTGTTGGAGTAAGGTTTACTTTCTCTTGCACTTTTCACCCGCGCAAGGTTTTGGACAGGCTTTAGATGTTTTTCTTGTCTTTGCACAAGCCAAAGAGATAGTACCAACGAGATGATACAGCTATTAGCTATGTATGCGAATGTTCGGCATTAGCCTGGCCGAGCACATGACTTGTAGTGACGTATGCGCTTGTATAAAAAAGAATGGCATAATATCCCCCAACCCGTACCAAAAACCCGTCAACAACTTCTTCCCCCAAGCCCCCAACAACAGTGGCTCCTTTAAGGGTTTCAGGGTTTAGGATCGCGCCGTACTGCAAAATGGCAACCCCAAACGAACGTCGGGATATTGTTATCGTTGGTATGAATCGACTTGAGCTTACTGAGACTTACCCCGCACGACCAATACATACCAGAGACTAACAACTTCGTCTAAGGTGGTGGTATCATCGGATGTTGCTCAGCGTATTATTTGACAAGACATCCTTCTTTTGATCCTTCCCGACACTCAGTGACCCTCATAGAAGCAACAGAGATTGCAGGAGGGGCTTCGGGCAAAGCAGGCGGTCTTTTAGCATTATGGGCATACCCAAGCAACATTGTACCATTGAGCTACAAATTGCACGCGGAGCTTGCTAGGGAGCACAATGGAAAGGAAAAATGGGGATATAGAGAGGTGAACTGTGGCCAGCTTATCGCCAGAGGTCGCCCGCTCAGTGAGAAGAGAAAGGTGGGCGAGGGTGAGGGTGTGAGCTCAGTATCCTTACAAAAACGGAGTGCAGCTGCACTGAGTAAATTGAAAACCGCAAGGGTACCCGGTGATCTTGACTGGCTTGAACCAGAGGGTGTTAGAGGCTACGAAAGCATGAGTGATCCGGGGGAGACCGCGCAAGTCCACCCATACCTCTTCACTACGTCCATCGCAAAGCTCGCTGAGGAGAAAGGCGCAGAGATTACGCTTGGGTCCGTCACAAACATCGATTACTCTGGGGATTCCGTCAAGTCAGTCACATACACGAGGAAGGAGAACGGCGAATCACAGACAATCCCTGCAACTGATGTTGTTATCGCTGCCGGCCCGTGGACGAGATCGGTTTTGCCGGATGCCCCGATATCAGCAACGCGTGCTCATAGTGTCGTGATCCGGCCTACAAGGGCAGTCAGTGGATATACCCTTTTCACGAATATAGAGATACCGGCCAATTTCGACCCGTCGAAGTCCTCACGTCCGACGGTCGCCTCACCAGAAATCTATGCTCGCCCTGACGACACAGTCTATTGTTGTGGAGAGGGTGATCATACTGTTCCCCTTCCGAAGACAACTGCAGACGTCGAGGTAGACCAAGAGCGGTGCCAGGATATCATCAACCAGGTGGGCAGCGTCTCTGATGAGCTACGTGATGGACAAGTCTGTGCGCGTCAAGCCTGCTACCTACCTAATGTAACTGCTGCACGTGGTGGGCCATTGGTAGGCCATGCTGGAACCAAGGGACTATACCTTGCGGCTGGGCACACTTGCTGGGGCATCCAGAATGCACCAGGCACAGGAAAGCTTATCAGCGAGTTTGTGTTCGATGGCGCAGCCAAGAGTGCGAAGATCGGATCGCTTGATCCGAGGAACTATCTCTAGATTAAAGGATTGTATAGAATATCTCAGTTAAAATATTCCCTTGTAGAGGGTTTTGTCTGTGACGCATACACATTTCCTCGGGTAGATCTCTAGTATGTGTGGTCTTTAAGGTTAATTAATATGTTTGGCCGCGCAAGGTGCGGAGCGGAGCTAAAAATACCGGGTAAATAAATGACAGGAGCTCTCCGCTCGTGAGATGCCAGATAATAGATAGTAACATCAACCTCCGCCGTGACATAGCCATCCTGTCTATGTGCACGCCTCCAATTGCGTGGACTTTCATTTAATTGTTCACGCTTTCTGTCCAGACAATGCATCTTTCCAAACTATTCACTCTTTCAACATCGTTATTCTATGTGGTTGCGGCATCCATAGATAATGACGTATCGGTTCTAGCTAAGGAGGCTGCGCGAGCCAACAACCAGTCGCTATTATGGGGTCCCTACAAGCCTAACCTCTACTTTGGGGTTCGCCCTCGGATTCCAAATAGTCTGTCCGCGGGGTTGATGTGGGCGAAAGTAGATGATTACGCCACGGCTCAGTCCAGTACGTGTCCCCAACAGTTGTCCTTCATTTACCATTAGGGACGTCCATTGCCGTCTTTTGATAGTTTCACTAACCCTAGCCCTCTTCAAGACTTCAGGCACACCTGCGAACAGAATGAAGGGATGGCAGGTTATGGATGGGACGAGTACGATATTCGGAAGGGCGGGCGCCAAACAATTCATGACGCTGGAAACTCCCTGGATCTGACAATTGACTTTATCAAGGTCCCTGGCGGACAGCATGGAGGAAGCTGGGCTGCCCGAGTAAAAGGTGTCCCGCGGGACGATGCACCCCCGGACCAGCCTACAACAGTTGTCTTCTACAGTGCTCTGGAGGGGCTCGGTAACCTGGGACTTCACACCAAGTCTGACGACTCGCGTGGTTTTGAGGGAGATGTGAAGCTGGCTGGTTATACCTCAGATCTTGGTGACTTTACAATTGATGTGACTGAGGGCCCTAAGACCAACGAGTATCCGGAACATGAACACCCAAGCTATGAGGACAAGCCATTGGACCGTACCTTGGTGTCCAGTTTGACTATACCCCCGGAGCACGCGTGGCAGACGAAAGGTATGATTTTTTAGTCTTTTACAAGCATATATTATGTCCGGTCTAGAGCTGATCTCTCTTCTAGTGATCCTGTTCTCGCAGATGAAGGAGGGTGTAAGCGAAACTATCGAGAAGTATGGAGCGGAAAACCCTCCGCCCCCATCGCAAGTCTTCACCATCAAGAATGCGCCAGGTGATGGTAATGTTCAGCTTGTGCAGAAGGTTTTTAAAGGGGCATTTGAGGTAAACGGGTAACCATTCAATTTGCAAATAGTCAGCTTACAGATCACAGTTTGATATCCTATTCTCGTCTGGGTCCTCGCCCAAACCTGTGACATGTATGGTGCTTTTCACGCAATTATTGTTGCGGGACTGATACTGACAATATACGTTACAGCCAGCCTTCTTACCCAAGAAATCACAAGTGCTTCGGTAGCTTTTGCTGAGCGCTTCGACAAGATACTCCCCCCGCAGGCTCCCTTTGATTCCGATGAATACACGGAATTCTCCAAGTCAATGCTTTCCAATCTCGTTGGTGGCATAGGCTACTTCCACGGTACCGATATTGTTGACCGCTCGGCAGCGCCAGAGTACGATGAGGAGAATGAAGGCTTCTGGGAAGAAACAGCGGAGGCAAGGGCAAGGGCTCAACCTGTCCTTGAAGGCCCAAAGGATCTCTTTACCTGTGTCCCCTCTCGGCCTTTCTTCCCCAGAGGATTTCTCTGGGACGAGGGTTTCCACCTGATTCCGGTCGTTGAATGGGATACAGATCTTGCGTTTGTTAGCCGGCAACCCTATCGTCATTCAAACACTAACATATTCCAGGCTTGAAATCGTGAAGAGTTGGTTAAGCTTAATGGACGAAGATGGGTGGATTGCTCGGGAGCAAATCCTGGGCGCTGAGGCGCGCAGCAAAGTTCCACCTGAGTTTACCGTCCAGTACCCTCACTACGCCAATCCCCCAACCCTTTTCATTATTCTGGAAGCGTTCCTCGATAAGTTAGATGCCAACAAAAATATCTCAGTCGAACAATCTTCTGAAGATATCGCAGAGCGTCTTCGTTCTGCCTATGTGCAACAACCGGAGTTGGGTGAAGCTTATATTCGCTCAATCTATCCACTACTGAAGAAACATTATTTCTGGTATAGAAACACTCAGAAAGGTGACATTAAGTCCTACGACAGAGAGGCCTTTTCCACCAAGGAGGCGTACCGCTGGCGGGGCCGGTCTGTCCAGCACATCCTAACATCTGGGTTGGACGATTATCCTCGGGCACAGCCCCCACACCCCGGCGAGCTACACGTGGATTTGATCAGTTGGATGGGGATGATGACTCGCTCTCTCCGGCGCATTGCTGAAAGGTTGGGGGAGACCGAAGACGCTGAAGAATTCAAGTACTATGAAACTGCAATTGGACGGAATGTCGACGACCTTCATTGGGACGAACAGGCGCAGACATATTGCGATGCGACTATTGACGAGTATGAGGAAAGTGTTCATGTCTGCCACAAGGGATACATTTCCATCTTCCCCTTCCTCACGGGCATGGTGAGCCCCGATAGCCCTCGGCTAAAGGCCATCTTGGACTTGATCAGCGACCCAGAAGAGCTCTGGAGCGATTTTGGTATTCGCAGTCTAAGCAAGAAGGATGAGTTCTACGGGACTGCTGAGAATTATTGGAGGAGTCCTGTATGGATCAACATCAATTATCTGGTGTTTAAGAACCTTTATGTAAGTAACCCACCTACCAATGCTCTACCAACCACGCATTGGAGCTAACGATTCTACCCTAGGACGTCGCGACCACTCCTGGTCCACACCAAGAACAGGCCCGTGAAATGTACTCCAAGCTGCGGAAGAACGTAGTTGAGAATGTTTTCAAGGAATGGAAGAAGACCGGGTTTGCTTGGGAACAGTATAACCCAGAAACAGGCAAGGGACAGCGGACGCAGCATTTCACTGGGTGGACTAGTATGGTGGTAAAAATGATGTCGATGCCCGATCTTCCTGTGACTGAGAGCAAGGGGCACGATGAGCTATAGAACAGCAACAATCGCTGTATAGAGCGAGCATAGTTTAGGTTAGGGAATACTACTTGTACACTATCCGTTTCTCCAACGCCCCAACGCCGTATGTAGACAGAACGAATTTTCGAAGACTGAACTCAACGCCGACGATGGTAATCTGAATCTCTATCCCGGGTATGATGACGGTCGTCTCGGCGGCTCCTGCCTTCGTCGTTACCTCTCCTGTCTCTGCTCCTTGACCGTGAGCGCGATCGCCTCCTTCGGTGATCTCGCGACCGAGACCGAGACCGAGATCTGTGCCGGTGACTCCTGTGACGATGTTCGCGTTCATCGCGATGCCTACGGTGTCCGTGTTCCCTATCCCTGTCTTTGTTTCTATCACTCAAACGATCGCGCCGCTTGTCTCTCGCTGGGCTCCTGTTACGCTCACTGCCCCGCTTCCGCTTCCCTGAAGAGTGGGAATCCAGTCCGACAGGCTCAAGTTTATCATCATCACCAGTGCCGGATACAGAGGCAACCCCGCCACGAAATGAACCGTAGCCGATTCCCTTGCCCGCTTCGTCGATCACTAGGTCTTCTCCTGCGGCCGTATCCCGGACTACTTTCTGGACATCTTTTTCGCCCAGTGGCGTAAGATTGGCGTTAGAACTAGCGCGCTTCTCCGGAACTGGCAGACCCAAAGCTCGGGCCATGGCTTCTTCTTCGGCTTCCTTGACACGTTGTTTCTCTTCGCGCTCCTTCCTAATCCTGTCCTCCTCGCTATCGTCTGTCCTTGTGTACCACATCAAGTCGCGGCCCTGTTGCCAGCGGCCAACGGGGGCCATCAGGGAATGGCCAAGATAGTTCTCACGGTGCGAAGAGTCCTTGACATCGGACCATTTAAAGTCGCCGCGACCGCCGCTATAGCAAGAGTAAGGTTAGCGAACATAAGCACGGTTGATGTAGGCATGTGCAGCTTACCGGCTACCTTCTTTGCGGATACTTGCGACAAGATCCATCGCGAATTCCTTGAGGAGCAGTTCTTGTTCATACGAAACCAAAAAGGTTGTTGCGATAGATAGTTATTACGATGTCCGATAAGAGAGTTTCACCATCGATGTGGCACGTGCACGCTACAGCCTGAGGCAGATCAACCGGGTTGGCTGACTTCATCGAACCATAAGATTCATGTTCTCATAGAGGACCGAATAGACCAGGAAGAGTATGGTCATGTCTTGTCTCTTTGTCACTATGGGAACTCAGCACAACCATGCTACATGGTCTGCAAAGTGATAGACCTCAGACTCCATGTGATGTCACACCTGGATCTGATACATTAAATATACCCCTCCTGTTTTTCTAATGAGCATATTCTTCCGCCTTCACCACCCTCACTTGATGTTTCCAACTGTGAATCATAGCCTATTACACTACTGATAGTTGATTTGGACTGGTCGTTCTCCGTACCACCTTCTCAGGTGGAAGCGATAGTAGGAATGGAATTTAATATTGACGATGGGTCCCCAGGCCGGAAAACCCGAGCCAGAGAAGGCCTACATCTTAGACCTTTGAATGTCGAGAAAGGGGCAAAAAGAGTACGTTGAATTACAAGTCACTAGGATTGCTTCCTCTTGGACATGCTTCAGCTGACAGTTCGATTAGTTCTCTTCGTAAGTATTCTATCATTCCGCCAGTCATGGAGCAGTACTGACTGAGGCGTTGCACGGCGCAGCAGAGCACCAGACTCGTTTCCTCCGCAAGGTGCAGCATGGCGGAATAATCTGGTAAACTGCAGCGTCACTTCTATATGATGAATTTCACTGATATGCTTGAAGGCTGCTCTTTCTCAACGTCGTAATCTTCTGTTTGTGGCTTATACCCATCAAATCTATGTCTGGGAGCCAGCTGGGTCGTTTCAGACTCTTGGAGCAAAGCCTGAAATGATTATAACTCCCGTCATGAAGGACCCTTATAGTAGCGGGTATATATCACCACATATGCCTCACGCTATCAATAATATCCTTGTGGATGATCTGGGACGCGATGAAGTCCTTCTGCTGGTCACGGATTCAGGCAATGTCTGCGGCTATCGTGTTGAGGCTATCTTCTCGGCTTTGAAGCGGGCTGCAGAGCGCAAGGAGAACCGCCCTTTTGATGGCTCCCAGGTACTCCCCTTTTTTGTCGAATATGTCGAAGCCAGCGCCTGGGGGCTAGCCATACACAAGTTCTCCCGCCTGATTGCAGTGACCGCAAACACAGGCCTTGTCACTGTTTTTGCATTTGCGCTTGTGAACCATGCTTCTCGAAAAGGCAGCGACACAGGGCAGGTATTAAGTGAGGAGGAAGAATTCACTGATTACGGCCAGACTTGGTTGGAAATCAAGAGTGATGAGCAGTTCAAACAGCTACAGCATTTGATGCCTGCGAAGCACCGAAACCAGAACATACGCTTAACTTATACTGGTCACTTTACCAACATACCATCCGTCTCCTTTCTCAATTGTGATCTTGACCCGAATGGAACATGGATGGTCAGTACAGATATCGAAAATCAGGTTTTTGTTTGGAAGACCTGGGAGGGCCCAGGCCCATTCAACGTGTACCACTTCGGTGATGCTTCTTTCAGATACCCAGAAACATTCAATCATGAGTAAGACTTCTCAACACGTTTTCTATAGTAGGTTTTGCACTGACGGACGAGGTAGTAAAGAGCGTGGTTGGTCTGTCATAGCCCTTGACCCACGTACTTTTCATCTACTCAAATCGACGAAGGACGCGTGCGGTGGTCATCCCCAACGTCGTGTAGAGAATGGTCGACCGGTCCTGGACCTGACAAAGCTAAGCAGCCGAGTGCCTAACGCGTCTCGGCTCTATAATTATTTTCCTCCTGCCGTTAAGGCTGAACCAGAACAACCGATCTTACCTGACATATTTGGACCAGATTGCTGCATTAATAAAGACACCAGTACTCGCCAGTCTACTAGTCATGCGGTGTATGATGGTTTATCTGCGGAATGTCGACGCGCAGATGAGGCTCCAGAACCCAGCGACACCCAAGATGTCAGAAACCTTCGGCCTTCAGACTCCGCTGATGCATTCAGCCACCGTGCCGTTGACGGCTCTGTACTCGAAGATAATTTGAGCTCTAATGCAAGTTCTGATGGGGAGTCATATACGGGTCTCCAGCAGAATTCTAGCCAGGAGGGCGAAACCCAGGGTGGTAATGGGACCTTCCATCGGGTGGATGATACAGAACATACCGATAATACCCCTTCTCATGGCCCTTTGACAACGCCTGAATTTCTTCAAGTAGCACTTCTCGAAGCTCTAGGTGGCGATATCCCCGGAGCCGAAGAATACTTTGACGACTACTCGATAGAAGAGGTCAGCCCTTTTGAGGACATAGAAATGGATGGTGCAGATGATGATATCTCGGAGAGCGATGATACATCAACTTCAGAAGCAGTTGCTTACCAAGTCTTTAACCGTATGTCACGCGGTGCCTTCCCCAGTGATCCCAGTATCTATGGACAAAGGGAGTCACTAATAGATTTTTCATCGACTCCAGCTCCAACGCATGCGAACTTTCCGATACTCCACTTCTCCCAAACAGATATCCGTCTCATCCCTAATCCGCTTGCCCCTCGCGCAACTGTTTTCTGTGGCACACCCCTTCGGCAACAATTCACCCACATTGTTGGATCGCTTCGAGACGCATGCGACCGCTTCAACATGGTCAAATATATCCCCGAACACGGTATCGTAGTGGCCGCCTCGCAAAAAGGTCGTGCCGCAGTGATCACCCTAACTGAGTCGGAAGCCAATGGCCTATCATTCAGAGTCGACTGGATCGTTCCTTTCGAGAGCCAGGAAAAGTACGGTGACCGACCTCTCATCCCTCTCCTAGGTATGAGCGTCGGCCCAATGCAAGGGTTTGAGATGCCTCCTGACGTGCCTAACATTCCGCACGATGCCAGCGGGGGTGGCCTGAAATTTCATTATGAGCCAACCACCAATGACGAACTTGACGCACGTTTACAAAACAGCTCCAAATCATCCGATATTTTGGGCGAAGACCTACGTCCCCCTTATGAAGCGTGTGGTACTAGAGTCTCCAGAGAATCCACACCTACAGTCAGCACTCAGGTTGATACCATCCCAGAACAAGAGCAGCAGACTTTTCCAACTCTGCCAGAGTGTCATGCCAGGGCTACCCGTGCCTACCAACCGGAGGAGACTTGGCGTGGTTGGAACCCATCTCGGCGTTATCGCTTGTTACTTCTCTTTGCGGACCATACCGTTCTGAGTTACGAATTCTGGTACAACTGGTCCCCGACGGGCACAGCGGACGATGAAAGTGATGAAGAGGGATACCTTGTTGTCTAGATACATTCACCAAAATGGATGGGAGGGTGGTCCACTACGTCAGTATTGTATTCAAATGAATGGGTTTGCCGGATTTCGAAGCTGTTGGTAATTAGTTTCCAAATAGCATATCGATCGTGTACATCAATAGGGATCCAAGTTGTCAAATATATAACTATAACACATTTATTTTATAACACGGACCGCTTCAAAGAAAATAAACTAATGCGCTGATGTAGATGCAAAAACCTCGTGATCATCATACATAAGTTGGGCGTTGACACATAAATACAGATGTCCCGAAGGGACGCCTTTTTCGAATATGCAGGTCATGCATCAAAAATCATCATCCAGTTCGTCGCTATCCCATTCATCTTCTCTATCGTTCTGGACCAGTTCCAAAAATCGTTGAAGACCAGGTCGTCTAATTGCTTCAGGATCAGGGCGGCCTCGTACCTCAGCCATTGCCCGTGCCTGTGCTTGTCGCTCAGCCGCTGCAGCCCTGCCTGCTGCATCTAAACCATTCAAGTTACGTCCATCTTCGCGGCGCCCAGGACCACCAGCTCTCTGGTTGACACGAGGTGGTGCCGGAGCAGGAGGTGGAGGGTGACCTTGGCGCCTAAAGTGATGATCGCCATCGTCAAAATCCCAGGCAGGCTGGTCCTCATCATCACTGCTGTCGAAATCTATCAATTCATTTGGGATCTGATGGAGAGCTTCGGCCCCATCAGGGTTGATTCCATCACCACCCTCTAGGTCCCAGAGTTTGTTGTAGCATGAACTGTTACCATCGTTAAAATGGCGATAAGGATTGTCCTCCGAGAGCCAGCTGGAACAGAGATAGCAAAAGTGGGTGTCGCATTTGAAGCAGATCATATGATTGCAGCCCATGCGTTTCTGACAAGGTGCATCGCATGTTGGGCAGGCTGATGTGTACAGCCTTAGATACTCCTCTGTCGCCTTTTCCTCTGCGGATAATTCTGCTTCCCGGCGGGGGAAGCACCGTACAAGCTCGCCATGCCACCCTTTCTTACACACACAGCAGAAGGCATAGTTGCAGTCTTCACAAACAGCCACTCGATCCGCCATAGGAGGCAGCTGAGCCTCATCCCCATTCGGGTCGAACACAAGTCCTACATCCTCATCATCGGAGGGATCTAGATCATCCGACATGGGGTCAATAGGCTTGGGATGCCTCTTCGAGCGAGCTGCGCCTTGGCACCACTGACGTGGGCAGTATATAGTAGACTTATCGGCTTCAAGTTTCTTCTTCCGTTTCAAAAAGACATAACGCTGTACTGTTTCCTGCTCCAGAGGAATTTGCAGTAGCTCGCTAGGGCTCAAACTCCGGTCGTTTTTCTTGCGTCTTTTGGGTTGCCCTTCCTGGCTTCGTACAAACTTGTCTTCCTTGCCGCAATCCGGAGCCAGACATTTAACACTCTCCACGTCACCTTCCGTGATACATGTATTGTAAAAGTCCTGAAGACAGGGCACACAGAAAACGTGCGAACAAAGTAAGAGCCGGTGGCAGTTTACTCCTTTTTTCGGCTCAAGACAAACTCCGCACTCGAAAGTCTCCTGCTCAAAGGCTTCTCTCTCGGCCTTATTGTTGTGATCTAAGAGTGCGATTTTAAGCTCTCGGGGGAGCCTGACTTCACCGTCGGGTATGTCATCAATACCAAAAGCTGCCTCGGCTAATTGTTGAAGATGGTCGATATAAGTATATACAACGAGATCCCTCCCGCATTCTTCCCAGAGGCGTTTCCCATCATCTAATAGCTTGGAGATGATCGAAGAGGGCAGCCACGCAGGATCTGTGCTAAGCTTAATGATTGGGGATTGCTCTGATGGGTAGCCACCGGGCAATTCGATTTCCAGACAAAGCGGGGGCAGGTGTGATAGGACATGCACATCTTCATCGGAGCTTGCCGTGGTGCCTCCATCAACTGTTTTGGTTGCGAAGCCCAAGCTAATTTCACTAACATCAAGGGATGTGGGCGGAGTCAGGACAGTTGGAAGTTCAGTCTCCGAATATTGCTCGAAACAGATCCGTAAAGGTGGTGAAGGATTGACAGGTATATCTAGAGTTGCCCTAAAAGAGAACGAAGGGTCGAGCTTGATTTCCGGATAGATGGCCGCGATAGATGACAGCTCAACAGAGCGTTCGTCATCAAGCAACTCGGTATCAGTCATATTAGGGTAAGGCCGTCACAAAGAAGGAAGGAAGAAGGGGATATGCAGGTCGGTTCTCTATTCAGGGTGGGTGGTTGATGAAAGGTGGCGAGGCAGATTCTTTAATGGAATGTTCCTGACACAACCATGGTATATGTACCGCTTAAAAATATCATGCCTTCGAGGATCTCTGGGTGAGGGTGTCTGCGAAGGGAAAAGGCGCCGATGAGTCTTCAAGTAGGGCCTTTGAGTCCGGGAAAAGGTTAAGAAGAGGAGTATGCAGCTAAACCGTCGATTAGTAAATCACCAGTTATAGATTAACAGTGATAAGCTGCAAGAAGGCTGGATGTCATTCTTGTGGCAACGGCGAAATACGGAAGAACCGAGCGAGAGGGACCCATGATCCTTTCTTACTTTTCAGGTACTGCGACAGATTGTGACAGGCAGCGTAATTAGGGAGGGAATGGAGCTGTCAGACGGTAGAAATTCTGGCAGTGGTGAAGGTCAGAATGAATGGTCTGCGATAGGAGTATCTTGGTCGAGACAGAAAGACAGAACCAGATATCGGATTGAACGTGTGAGGAGAAGTGCGTCATGTTTTGACTGAAGGTCAGAAAATAAAAGGAAACGGAAAGGATAGTAAAGATGGAGTTGTCAATGAAATTTTGATTTCTCGGTTGCAGATCATGAAGTGTAGTGACTTCAGAGAAGAAGAGAGAAAGTGAAAAGGAATTGGAAACAACTCATAGACCGACAGAAACGCATGTGGTTTGAAGGACTTCAGGCATGATTTGCTGCCCGAGTCATTTTTTTGTTTTTTGTTTCTTGTAAGAGGCTTTTTTAAATTTTTCCTGACTTTTTTTTAAGCTAAGTAATTATTCATCATAATTAATATTTGCTTTTCTTTCGCTCTCATCATTTCATTTGACAATGATGTTTCTGCAACCTGAGGCACTCTTTTCCCCTCCCCCTCATTTTACGTTGCCGCTTTGACCATATTCAACTCCGTTCTTCCCCCATGAGCGGGAGACAAAAGCGGCGAGGGACACGGACTCCCGCCTGCCGAGCATGTGACATCTTTAAGAGGTCTGGGCTGTCGTAACCACGGGTTGCATTCATACTTAATTTTATACGCAATCGAGTTCTTAAGACTTAGTCCTGTTCTGAGGTTGAGGATTCCTTGGATAGTTCTACATCCATAATGTTTGTCGGTCAATGATACCTGCTTATTTATTTATCTCTTCCCGTCTAAGTTGAATCTATTATTTGCTTCTTCGGTACTCCCATCTTGTTGTCCTCGAACGGAGAACCGGAGAACGATTGAAGAAGCGGAAAGGGCAAGGAGGAGAGAAAAGAAAAAGACCATAATTTATTACAAAATAAGAACAATTTCGGTTAGCGATTTCGACTCATCAACATGACTGACACGCCACTGGCGTCTTTGTCTTTGACACATGTCCATTATGTAAGTTCCTTCGAATTTCCACGCGCGTTCTAGTGTGGTCAAGGAACTGATGAGGCATGTGTATCTATGGTAGAATCCAAACGATCCGCTCTCCTTTTTGTCGGCCTGGCTTGCCCTGGTTCCCCAGGCACTATGCGTGACCTACGTCACTCTTATTTGGGCGACAAGGGAAGTGGAGGTGCTATTGATGTTCGCAGGCCAGATGGGTTGTGAAGCATTGAACTTTGTATTAAAGCGGATCATTCAAGAGGAACGGCCGAAGCGTATGTCGATTGGCGGTCCATCAGACCGAGTTGTATTCAATCACTGACTGGAACCCTTAACACAGAAATGCTTGGTAAAGGCTACGGCATGCCATCATCCCATGCACAATTTGTCGCCTATTTCGCCGTGTATCTGGGGCTGTTCCTTATCTTCCGGCATAATCCCACACACTCCGAGCCATCATTCCATATTCTCATACGGATAGTACTTGCCATGGGATTGAGCGTTGGCGCCGGTGCCGTGGCCATCAGTCGTATATATCTGAACTACCATACACCCAAACAGGTTTTGGCAGGCTGTGGTGCTGGTATTGGGTGTGCATTTGCTTGGTTTCTCGTTACTGCATTCCTCCGGGCACATGGCTGGATTGACTGGGGATTAGATTTGACCATATCGACGCAGTTGAGACTACGGGACTTAGTGGTAAGTGAAGATCTAGCCGAAGCCGGATGGCAAAAATGGGAAGCAAAGCGGAAGTTAAAGCGTCGGGGACATATTAGTAGTAATTCCCGCTCTCCGAAGACCGACTGAACTGTACAGATGCTTGAGCTACGTATACTTCGTTTCTTAGATTTTGAAAGAAAGGGCATACAGCCTGGTGATTGTGATGCCCTTGGATTCACTTCTTTTAGCATACTGGTCAATATAAGTATAGACCATATACATGTGAAAGTCGCAAGCCCTTTGTGACTCTATTAGAAAGTTCCTATAATGCTTACACATGATAACCCATATTTTTGGGTTTAGGATATGAATCTTTAGAAGCTATAAGATCTGTCGTGTAGAATATTCTGGGTCCCGTACCAATTGAATATATGTTTAATGGCGGGGAGAGTCTAGTTGTATTCTCTTCAATAGGAACACACTACTGCTACATGCATAACGAAGGACACTTCGTAAAGTCAATTAAAGGTACGTTATAGAAAAATAGCAAATGACAATAGAACGCTACAACTCCAAAAAACCATTGATCCTGGTTCCTTGATATACCTCCGCGGTGCCTCGCACGTGATCGGTCTCGCCCGCAGATAGGCAATTGTCTCGGATTTCTGTCGCGTTGGCCGTCGTTTATCGAAACATGTTGCGGGAACTCGCCAACGCCGCCAAGAGACTCCATCATGTCTCATTAACTTCACTGATTAACATGCCAGGCCTTGTCTATTCTGCACCCAGGTCTACTATTAGCAAATTATAACCTCAACACATATTTACCCTCTCCTTTCTCTTTGTTTTGTCAAGAACAGATACCCCTGATATTCTTGCACATTTTACATTTAGTTGTTAAAAGAAGCGGGAGATAAGCTCCCAGAGCCCAAAAGATGGATGATACAGCAGAGTCTGCCGATACGGCAATGTCAGAACACCACATTGTCAAAGCGGATGAGGTCGACCAAACAGGGACAGATATCTCCCCTGTCCCAGACGATCAGCTGATGGAAGAAGTCGCCGAGGGCCTACGGCAGGAGCGAGTCTCAGGAAGCACACCATCTGCCCCAGGTGAGGCTGGAAAACCTCACCGGCGACCGGAGTTGCGTCGTGATGCTGCAGCTCCGCCGCCGCCTCTACAGCCTCCACCACCGGCTCCAGTGCAACAGAACTTAGAAAGGTCCACGGACTCACTAAGTCTTGCACAACTCAGGCAATTCGTGCAGGAGATGCCGAGGGTCGAGCAACCTGCGTATGCATTTGAGTATGCTGATTCTCAGCCATTTGCGGAAGAGATCGAAGAATGGTTCCAGTACAGCGAGTTTGACAGAGCTATGCTAGTGGGCATGAAATCGTCGTTCGAGAAGCAGTGGACTTCTTTCCTTGAGTCCCATAATGCTGAGTCCTCGCAGCTTTCATGGGTAGATACTACTGATGATCAGCGAATGGCATTCATGGCTCAGGTGGTAAATGGCATACGGGAGCGCGAGGTCTCGGTGCGCCTTGAAGCCCTGGAAGTCGTTTGTTATATTGTGACTGGCGTATGGGGTACCACTGCCGGGAGAACTGTAGATGATTATCCTGAAGATCCGTCTGACAAGGAAGCCGCAGAGGTCCCGAAATTTAAGTCATTACAAATCAGTTGGATCGAGAATGGTGCCAACATGGTTCTTGAAAGCTCAGGCCTGGCGCCGTTGCACGAGTGTTTATGCCGCGTTTTTGAAAGAAATCGTGCCTCTTATAGTAGTGAATCTGCTGGCGCTGGGCCCGAGGGTACGAACCCAGCATCTCTCGCTGCCATGGAGCGTGAGGCAAATTTGGTCCTTACGGCTTTTTACATGATCGTGGAGGTTGGTAGGAAACAAGAGGCCCGAGATCCACGGCACACACCGTTAAGAGATGCCCTGATTGGCTTGAAACCGAATCTATTGGTATTCCTGGTTGAGGTTATCGCACGCCTACGATGGGATGACTCTGCTAACATTCCACTTACGAGAATAATACTCTTGTTTTGGAAGTCTTTGCTCCTATTCTTTGGCGGCAGTGACGAGTTGAAAAGAGCCAAGGAAGAGTTGGAACCAACATTTAAAGAAAGGGAGGATGATACGTCTCGCAGGACGCCTTTTCTGACTGCATCGCCTCTCGATTATCACATATTTCGGCAAGAAATTACTTCTAAATACCCGGCCTACAACCCGCCACCACCTGTAGTTCCTCTGGAACTGGAGAACAATTCTATTCTCCCTCCTCTTCCCCAGCATCCCAGTAGAGGAGCTTCATCTAATGGCCTCTTCTCTGGGGTCGGCCCATCTGTTGCAGGTGGTAACGGTTCAATCCTTCATCAGTCGGTCCACATAGCAACACCTGCGCCTTCCCCTCCTCCATCACCAATTGGCCCGGGGGGTAAAGCGGGGAAGAAGCAAAACTATCAGACGAACCAAAACTTTCCTTTCATGTACCCCCCTCTAGATGTTTCTAGCAACGACATTGGTGGCAAAGGCACAACCGAGCTCCAAGACGTGCTCGTAGGCAAGAGGTGGGAGGGAAGTGACGTACCAGCCTCAATCATCGAGGCCGGCAAACTTTTCTCGACACACGTCAAAATGACTAGAGCGATGCGACAACTTTGGGAAGAACGTGAACGGTTCATGAAATATGACCGCGGCTGGTATCTAGATGATAACGGGACCGCGTCTGATAAGAATATTCCCGACGAACTTCTCGAGGACTTCCAAGACTTAGACTTGAAGCAAGGAGAGAAGGACACTCCAGGGAGGTCTCTCATCAAGGAAACCGATGACGAAGATATCCAACGGCGCTTGGATGCCGTGGAGTCTTTCTATGTGGGTTTTCTCCGTATTTCGAAAAACACATGGCCTGACAAGTTTTCTAGACACAAGCACTGGTGCATTTGCAGTCCATCACTATCGTATTCTTGAAGATAATCCTGACGAACGTCAGTGCTATGGTGAACCAGACTCAAGGCGGCCAAGGAATGAGGTATGGGCCCTATCTCTGGTCTTCGTACTGAGCATTAAGTTAACATGTGCCTAGCGATGGTTACGGCGTTAATGGATCCGGGCCCGGGCCAGCGTCTATTTCCGAGGATTTGAACTCCGAGGCTGCTATTGAGGAACTTGACAACATTAGGCTTCGGGAGATTACTGGAAAAGCCATTTCAGGATCTCTATTACTTCTGATAAAGTGGTTTAAAAGATCTCGTAAGCTAATAACCCTAGTGCAGATCGGATGATATCGTTGCTGACCGAGCCTAGACATATTGAAATTTGAATATATGACGCAGTTGTTACTCGATTCCAATTACCTGCCGTTAATATTGAAGATGTTTGCCCACCAAGACATTGATCAAGCCGTGGCACAGAAGTTTGACCGCAAGGAGCTGGGGTACGCACCCTTCCAATTTTCACCCGCCGGCCAAAATTACTAACAAGAATAAGCTTCTTCCATTTCTGTCTTCTTCAGTCGGATCAACCGCCAGTACCATCGCATTCGGACGAGGAATCAAGCGGGGATGAGGCGGCTCCTCCCCCAATTGCTCGGCATCGACCAGACGTGGATCCAGGAAACTCTTCCATACGAGTACAATCCCCGGAGGACGACTTTGAAGAGTTCTTAAACGGACATGATCTCCCTCGTCCTGAGGTGGATGAGCTGGGATACCCTACTGCACCTCCCCCTAAAGAGCCGATCAAGGTGTTTTCATTCCGCAATTTCTTTTCTGCTATCAATTACTTGCATATCATGCAGAAGATTACCCGTGACAAAGCCCACCGATGTCTGTTGCTGGTGCAATATAAGTCTAGTACTATCCTTCGGAAAGGGCTGAAAATACCGGATCCGTATCTACGGTTCTACACCCTCAAGCTATTCAAATCACAGGTCCCTTACTGTGGCCGCAAATGGCGCCAAAGCAACATGCGTGTTATTACCGCCATCTACCTCTACTGCCGTCCGGAGCTGCGAGATGACTGGCTGGCGGGATCAGATATCGATGCGGAAGTGGAAGAAGCCTTGCCTCTCGAACAAGCACTCCGTGGCCTGACACACTGGTGGCACCTGCGGCGGTATAAAGACGTGATGGGCGGTGAGGAGGGCGCATCACTCATGGAAGAGGAGCGCGATTTCTTTGTGCGAGAGCTCGAATCAATGGGCTGGGGACTTGCAGGCGAGGAAATGCTCAATGGCACCAGCGAGGAAGCCGAGATGGCTGCTGCTGGTGGGCAATTACCAGAGGGAACTGAATGGGACGGAGGCCCATTGCAAATGGAGGGGTGGTGAGGCGGTTTTTGCATCGAGAGAATATGTTGCTTTATCATCTTAAAGTATAATGACAATCATGAGTGAAGTACATATACCCCAATAGATATGATCATCTGGCTCTCAGTTATATCGCACCAAGCACAATCTACTAATAGTAGCGAGATTAACCAGTTGTAGATGATGTTTTGCAATCGGTTGCCATTCCTGGCGAGTCTTATCGATAAGAAATTCTCACGTGACGACCACTGCGGCAACTTTTTTTTGCGGCAGAATTAATCGTTCTCGCAAAGTCTAGCCGCATAGCAAAGATACTTCTTCTCCCAACCACAACGGTTTAGGCCATTATTTTGAGATTCCTGGCCGGCTCTAGTCAAGATGTCGTCGGACGAGATTGTTTGGCAGGTTATCAACCAGCAATTCTGTTCCTATAAACTGAAGTAAGTTCGCGATGAAAATACTTGCATATCTCCCACC